AACTCATTCCTCCACATCTGATTCCTTGGACAGCAAGATATTGCTATCACCACCATTCTCCTCTCCTTCATCAAGTTCCTCCAATGCTAACTCTAGAGCTGAAGAAGGAGCAGCCTCTTGGAAGATTAGATCACATTGATACATCATATGAAGCACCTGAGTTGCCTCAACAATGTCACCCTTCAAGCGGTTGCGGCGCTTCGTAATTGTCAGAGCTGCTGCAGAGAATGCTCGCTCACTTGAAACTGAAGTGGCCATAACAGACAAATGATCACGAGCAAGTGAAGCCCATACAGGATACTGTTGGGCATTGACCTATAGCGTGAAGCAGCATCAGTTATGGTTCAGTTCACATAAAATGATACCTTACCCCCCACCATTGGATAATAGACATGTTATTTGGAACTGAAGTGAGCGAGTTAAGGTAGAGGTGAAACTCCCTCAACCATGGCAACTGTGACTGTGGATCCACCTCCGACTCTTCCACCACATCATCACCACTCTCCTCATCACTAGAAAGCTCTCGAAACAGTAACAGTACCTTACTAGTAGACTTCTTCTTTGATGATACTGGGACTCCATGCTCGCCATACAACTTGATATGTTCCTCCTTAAACTAGACTATGTATAAGTATATTGCACGTATTCTCTTGAAAACACAGAAGACTCACCATTCGTTCTGCTTCCTTGAGAGCTGCGGCATGCATCTGTTTACCCCAGAAGCGCTTGATGTGAGAGTCCTTCTGCGACGGGTCAAGCACTAAAGACAACTGTGAATTTAAGTCAGTGAGGATGGTTGTCACGTACACATAGCCATTATGTATGCATCACTATCGGCACTTCGCTCATAATACTCCTTAATTTTCGTAACACCTTGCCGCAAGGCATGGTGAAACGGCTCGTACTTGGGACTCTCTGAACGTGTCGTCCATGCCTTGTGTAGCACCTCGAGAGCTGGCAAAGCAAGATGAAGAGATGCTCCTCTATCTGATGAAAAGCTTTGCTGAGCTCTATCAGCATGCTAAAGTAATGTTGTAGTAGTCAGCTTCGTCAATGAAATAAATCAAACTCAAACTACGAACAGCCAGAAGGGATGTAAATGATGTAATACAAGTCCACTCATCTTCGCGCAGCTTCAACTGATCAATTTTAGCCCATTTCATGAGGTTAGCCTCACGAAGGCCAAGCTCATATACAAAGGTATCAACATACTAGAGGATGGTTAGCAATGGCTTGCAATTATATCTTATAATACTCACCGGCCGCTTCTTCTCAGCACAATCAAGCATGACATAAGTCGAGGACCATCGAATGGGCATGTCAAGCAATAGTTGTGAGACAACAGGGCTTGGATTAGGCAGACGAGTCTGAATGTCCTGCCAAAGTTGCTTTCGTTGAGCAGATGATCGAGCCTAGTATAGTTAGTGACACAAACTTGACATCTACACATGACGAACCTTGACTGCAATGGCTCACACGAGGCCAACTTCATCACGGCGGCCATCTTCTTGGGGAATGCACAAGTCAGGGTGCTCAGGAGTGTAGTATGGTGCACTGCTATATGTGGAGATGACAGCCCTTGTTGCGAGATGAATGATGTGAGCTAAACACCTATGAGTTCAAGTCAGTACACAGAACAAAGTAAAAAATGAGACAACTATACCTGATGCGTCGCTTTTTGGGGATCCATGTTCTCCCTGTCCCTTGCTCGATCCGAAATGCAAATTCATCAAGCATAGTATCATTGTTAGAAGCATTATCGCATGTAACATGGCCAATCTAACACTGCATGAGCGTGACGCGACACAATACTAAGACTATATCTTACCTTATGAGCAATGCCTACCCGATCCACAATTTTGAACAATGCTTGCCCAAGGTGTTGGCCATTGTGGGAGTTGTTGAGTTGCATGAAGCCAAGAATGGCACATTCAAGCTGCCAGATACCGGGTGATGCTTCTTCGATCCAGTGACCAGTAACAGCAAAATAGCCGTCTACATTACTTGCCTGCCATGCATCACATGTTAAGTTGACGGAACCTGACACAATTTTGCTCTATTTGCAACATTAGTATGGGAGATTAACTAAAGATATCAAAAGCAAAGCTTACATTGAGGCGTTCTTTTAATTTCGACATCTGCTTCTTGAATAAATCCATAATTTCGCGGCGTGTAGCATTGCGATTTGGTAAAATAACACCATTTGTAGCACGAGCAGCTACATCAATCATGTTCTTGAAGCTCGGGTGGTCTACAGCTTGTATAGGCTGCAAAACAGATGTTAAATCACATAGCGCACACAATAAATACATACCTGACTGGTAGATATTAGCCACTCAATGGCAGCATCGCGAAATAGTGCGTCAGTGTAAGGTACAACAGCCTTGTGAGGGGGAATCTCTTTGAGGTGGCCGTCAAGACTGGTTTGCTGCGCATTTGCGATAGCGGCAGCAGTCTTGCGCTCCTTGATATCTTGAGGTAGCATTGACGCGAATTCATTGGCCTTGCACCACTTGCGGTAAGCATCCTGACGGCAAGTGTGATGAAAATGTCAAGAACAGATAAGAAATAAACTTACCGCATGGCGAAATGCAAGGTGACGGCGACACATTGACGTGTCGCTAACTATTTGCGAGGGTGACCCCTTCTTCCTATAATTCTGTGAGTTAAGATTTGAAGAATAAAAAAAAGGATGTACTTGCAAGTTTCGCAGTCTCGGACATTCCGTGTCTTCCCATCCTTTGCCTTATGCGCATAGGACTTGCTGAAGAATGCATTGACGTCCCGACTTTTCTCCTCGCGTCGAATTGTTCTGAGAACAGCAATATCTTGTACATTGAGGTCTTGTAGGAAGCCGTTGTCGCTGTCGTTGTCGTCATCGCCGTCGCCATTGATGTCACAATCTATGGAGTCCTCGTGTGTACCTGTGTGCGCTAGAGTAAGAAGTTAGTAGTAGCATTAGAATTTAATAGTGAAATGATTTGCATGCTTACCTGTGTGCATGCTTAATGAATGCGTCAAACGAGCATCATCTGTGAAGGATGGCTCGCCAGCTCGACGAAGGTGCTTGGCTACAAAAATCAGACAGTGAGCATACCAGCACAAAAATTGATAGTACTTACCCTTGGATACTGATTTGTTGGCATCTTCATTGTCCAAATCCTCATCCTGGTTCGAGAGAGTTGAACTCCAGCCAGCGTCGTCTGCATTTCATTTGGCGTCGCACAGATTTGTCGTGAGAGTGGTGTTTGGTTGGACCGGCCGCTGTACCTGCTTGTGGCTAGTTAACTCGGGTGTTGCACTATTATTGGAATTGAGAAGTCGAGAAGAAGGTATAATTGTTTGTTTAGAACGGACTGTGATGGCAGCAATTGCGTCATCATCAGAAACGACTGTGAGAGTCATCCTCGGGCTGGGTATGTTGTTCAGCCGACTTCTTCCAGTGGATGCGGTTGTTGCAAAGTTTATGTAATCTAAGTATTGTACAGTACATTTCGGAACTTTCCTTCACTATGTAGAAGCCCTGGCCTGAGCCCTAGGCCATGGCCTATGAGACACCCAGGCCAGGCCCAAGCCCTCATGAGGCCCATCAAGTAGGCCTGGCTTGGGCCTATGGGGGCCTGTGGGCCAGGGCCTGAGGGCCTGGGGCCAGGCCCGGCACATCACTACCTCCCGGTGCCATGCCTTATTCACCCTTCGACTCGCCACTGACTGCCCTGGACGACACCCCTGAGATAGCACCTTTCGAGGTGACTAAATCAGAGACATCCGTCCTTAGGACCGTACGCTCTTGCAGTGACGTTGTCCGGGCAAGAAACCCTTGGTTTGGCCTGCATGGCCCCAAGGAGAAGTCCACAGAGCAGGTCTCCATGGCAGAGGATACCCCTGAAAACCGTACTGAGTCAGTAGAGGACGTGAATAGAATCCTAAGTATGACCTTACCTCCTGCTCCCAGTGCAGCAGGTCCAGACTCCGAAAGCGATGAGTCTGACGACGACAGTCATCCATGGATCATGGTTCGATGAAAACGAAGCTGTGAGGGTGCCTTTTCAAGTGGATTAAAATCTGAACCTGCTCCAGTTCGTACCTTAACGAGGGAGCAGGAGAGCCTCGTGAAAGAGGCTGAGCGTCGTCTAACCAACAACGAACGTGAGTGAGTGAATCGAAGACAATCTAAGATACACTCACAGAATGACGCGACCGCGTCTGGAACAGCTGGACCCTCGAAGGGCAAGACCACAGACCCAAGAGAGTGGGGAGCTGCTGATCTTGACAAGGGGGAACTGGATCTGGATGCCCAGCGTGCTGCCTTCGAAGCCTGGAATGCTGCTAAAGCAGTGAGAGAGGTGACCAGCGAAGGCGAAAACAAAACCAGCACGGAACGCGTGCCGGAGGTCAAGTGTTACAGGGATCTGTAACACCTACTAGAGCCCCAGCTCTCCCTACGCCTGCCCCCGCTCTGCTAGATTCCCCGTGCGGCAGTGCGCCGCCTGCGCCTAGAAAGACAGCGGTCTGGACCGCTATGACCCCGCCCCCTGGCGCTATGACCCCGCCCCTGGCCTAGACGGCCTTGTACCTGTTCCATGGAGGCTGTACGCCTCATGTACGCCTCATGGACACCCTAGATCAGCGCATGTATACCACATGTCGCTTCATGAAGATCCGGAGCGCGCTTGGCACTTCCTGTACCTATGCGCAGCTGCCCTAGGCGCAGCATGCTTGATCAGAGGTTAAGCCTCATGTATCTTATCTGACCCTCATGTCTTGTTATCATAGATTTACGATATACTATTGATTACAGACTGAGCTAGAATACTTGTAGTACTTCCCTATAAGTAGACACAGATTATTGTACTTAGACTTTACTTTAATCTACTAGGTTCATCCCCAGAACTTGCTCATCTAAGCTTACCAGCTTCCTTGTGTGAGACCGCACTTCTAAGTCGCCCCCATACGACTTAGCACATATCCGCTAGCCCTGCATCTCGACGAGCGCCGTCTTACCGAGATCGCCGGAGGAATCCTTGACGTTCCGTCAAGGCTAGACCACGCTCAGCTTCAGTAGACTCACTCGAGTCGTCGCTGAGAAGACCTATCCTAGTTCGCACACGCCGACCAACGGTCAGCGTAACATCAAGAGCATCGAGGTGTCCAAGGAGGAACTCAAGAGGCTTGTTCACGAGCGAGCCATAGAAGCTGTTCGCGCCGCAGAGGTCAGACTAGAACGAAAGTATGAGAAAAAACTTCATGAGCTCAATTGTAAGATCGAGAAAGACTTAGCACCTACCAAGGGAACGACATGTGCACCACCGGTAAAGTCTATGATTGAGAAGGTTGTAAACCCCTCAACCAAGACCTGAGCCACGAGTGAGACCCCAAGGGCCATGCAACTCGTACACCAAGTAACGGCCCAAAGCTATATCGGCCGAGCATTGAGTAGGGTTAAGTCAAGTGGACCCAAGGAGAAAACTCACTTGGATTCGGACCCGTCGAGTGACGACGACAGTAGCAGCAGCTTGAGCGACTCAACATTGAGCGAGTCATCTGACGATACGACTGATAGTTCGACGATGGACTCGTCAAAGAAGCGACGATCTAAGAAATCCTCACGTACGCGTAAGAAATCCTCCAAGAAGAAGAAAAAGACACTCCATACTCAAACCAGTACCTCCTACCATGTACGACGGGGAAGTGGACTCCAGGTCCTTCCATCGGTTCATCACTAAAGGAACGGCCTATGTGAAGGACAGCCGGGTTAAGTCCAAGGACAAGGTGTTCACTCTGTCGAGGTATCTAACTGGGAAGGCCCATGAGTTCTATATCAGGGAGGTGGCGAGGGATCCTTACCAATGGAGACTACCTGAGTTCTTTACCGAACTATTTAATCACTGTTTCCCGGTCAACTTCCGGACTGAACTGCGTGCCCAGCTTAAAACATGCTACCAGAACGATAAGACAGTACGGGCTTACTATTATGAGCTCAGCAAACTCTGGAACATGATAGGCGACATAGACGAACGGCAGCGAGTCGAACATCTGTGGTTCGGTCTGAGAACGGACATCCAGCGTGAGCTCTGGAAGAAGGAGCTGAACCCGGAAGTATCCACACTTAACGAGGTACTTGCTGCGGCTGAAATCATAGAAATATCACAGTCAGTACCCATTGGTAGGGAAAGAAGGGCGAAGAAGGGCACAACGACCCTTGAGAGCTCATCTGTGACCCCTGCGAAAGGGCGGGATGGCAAAGGGCCGTGTAAGCACGATCACAGGAAGGATTGACCCAAGGACCACAGGTCCAAGGACAAGGGCTGTTCGAGGGCCGAGGGAAGCAACAGACCCCAGGGAACAACAAGTTGGCGATTCGAACCCCTCCCAAAGGAGGAGCACGATCATCTGGCTGCGGAGGGCAAGTGCTTCCATTGTAAGCAACTGGGGCATCAGTCCCGACACTGTCCAGAGAAGAACAATGTGGCATCCAACTCACCTGGGAAGCCTCCGGGCGTGTCCAGCTACGGCATCCACGTAGATATCGGTGAGGTGGAACGTCTGCGTGAGCTGGCGGACACCACGGAGGTTGGGAATGAGGTCTTCGTGGGGGCGATGGGAGTCACTGACATCGCTCCACAACCCCAAGATTCTGGGGAAGTGGTGTTGGACTGAATGGGCGACCCACTGGGCGAACGCGCCTGGATCCTGCTATCAGGGATCCATTACCCAGGTGACCTGCCCGATTGCCCTGACTCACTGGCTGCGGACCGTTTCTACCTGTACCAGGTGTCTGAAGCAGAATATGTTGTCATGGATAAGTTCTGTAGATTGGAACCAGAACTCACTGTGCCAGTCACTTTGCTCATGAACCCGTGTTTTGAGATTGACCGATGGTACTGGCGCCATATGGGCCTGCGACGTGGTTATAGTAGGTGTGAGCTGCGAACATTGGAACGTAAACGCACCTGGAGGTCTGGGTCAATGGGTGACGTGCTAGCAGAGCACGCCACCTTCCTCTTGGACGCTAAGACCGACTACCTGTATGATGGACCAGTGTGTAAGTGTTGACATAAGCACGTTCTTGATCACTTCTTGATATGTCGTTTCTCTTCCTTCTTGCTATGTACTATACAGCACCATCGCCACTCAGCCACAGATCCTCCATAGACCCATATGTACCTGCTTCGCGCCTTTTCCCACCTCAGCGTTGTTCTATTAACTCCCGCTGAGGTGAGTATCTTGTATCGTGTACTTGACACACTCATTGACATGTAACGTTACCTAGTCTTCTCTAGGTACATATTAATATAGCATTGTTCTATTAACTCCCACTGAGTCTTCTACAGGTTATGAGCCCTGGGCTTTAGCCGAGCCCAGAATTTACGAAGTCTATACTACAAGCTCACCGAAGAACGAAGACACTCAATTTCACATCCCTCTTTCAAATACTCGCATTTCAAAATCATCGCAGATCATTCTCCAATATGGGGAGATATGACTTCATTGTTGAACTCACAGGCGCAGACAAATACCCGAGCTGGCATCGAGGAGTAGTTCTTGCTCTGCAAGGGGAGGGGTTATGGAACCATTGTAGCATTGGTATCGACCCCAACAACTTTGCAAAATATGCGTCAAGAATCCCCTCCCCCGCTATAGCCGGAAGTCCCACTGCTGCTGAAAAGCAAACCATAATTGAGTGGATCAAAGAGGACACGCAAGCGAAAGGCATTATTTGCAGAAAACTTTCGGCCATCGTCCAAGGACTCCTGGATGAGTCGTCCACTGCTCGAGAGCAATGGGATGTCCTTGCCATGCACTTCAGACGCTTAGACATGAGCTCTCAATTCGAATTACGAGCACAGCTCTTCGCTGAAAAGCTTAAAGACGCGGACGATGTCTCGCGCTATATCAGCGTCTTCGAACATGCGAGACGATGGTTTGCCAAAATGGCAATTACCTTCACCAATGGAGAAGCTGTCTTTCTTCTTTTGCAGGGACTGCCGCAAACTCCGGAATGGATCATCTTCAAATGCATGACCATGACATCTTACAGCACCTCCTGTGCTTCTGTTCTCACAGCAAGCTCCACCAGCACGACAGCAGTTGCGGTTCTGGCAATGACATTTACAACTGTTGCAGCCCACCTCTCGGAAGAAGCCAACAGAATCCGAGGGGAACACAAGCTTTCCGGACCCAGTTCTGAATATGCTAATGCCATATCAGACTCAAAGGCAATTCAAACGGGTGGAGGAATGGAAGTAAAAGGAGGCAATCCTACTTGCACCAAAAAGCCCTTCAAAGAGATCACCGCTGCTGCCACACCGAATGTGCCCACACTTCCTGCTCCCACCACTCAGTCCAGCTCAGATTTGGCATGTGCCGTCATCGAGGAGGTTCACGACGATGCTTTGCCAGACGCAGATGACATGGCCTGTATCATAAGTCAGTTGATGTCCACGATCCTTGACTCTGGCACGACCTCCACCTTAATCACTGGCCGAGAATTCTTCTGGACTTACGCTGACAATTCTTGTGTAACTGTGAAAATGGCGAATCACGGGCGTCTTCCCACTTCAGGTCGCGGAGATTGCGTCGCAGATCTCACGATCGGGGGCAAGACACATCGCATGCGTCTTACTAATTGTCTCCACGCTCCTGGCACCATGGTTAACCTCCTGTCTGTCGGTTATATGGTGGAGAAAGGCTGGGCGGTCAGCTTCTTACCTGCTCCTGCGCGCTGTCAGCTCACCTTCTGGGGAACACCAATCGGGGAGACTCCCATGATTGGGAAGTTAGTTTTCCTTGACTTACGGTTTGTTCGTCCAGAAGACGCCTCTCCTTCAATGCCTCAAGAGCTCTCAGTGTTTGCGCATGTTCCTGTCACGTGGGATCTTTGGCATGCGCGCATGGGCCATCTGGGTGGTGATGCCATCAAGCGACTTCCTCTTATAGCCAAAGGTGTCACAGTCACACACGCCACGCCTCTGCAGCATTGTGAGTCCTGCATTGTCGCCAAACATCCTTGTCGGCCGTACCTTCCTTCCACTGAGCCCAGAGCAAAGCAAATGCTCGACCTCATCCATTCTGACCTGTGTGGTCCTTTCCCAGTCGTCACACCTCATGGCAAACTCCACTTCATCATCTTTCTCGACAACCACACCAATCTCCTCAATGTTCAGCTCCTTGCCAGCAAAGATCAGGCTTTGGAGGCGTGGCGGATAATCCGCGCTCGTTGGGAGAATCACGTTGGACGCACTGTGAAGGTTTTTAGGTCTGATAATGGGGGAGAATTCATTGGTAATGACTTCACGCGTGCCCTGCAGGAAGCCGGCATAGAACGGCAACTCTCAGCACCTTATGCTCACCAACAAGACGGCAAAGCAGAGTGTGCTATTCGCACCCTGGAGGGCCGATTGTTCGCGATGCTGGAGACTGCCCGCCTTCCAGCGAACATGTGGGGTGAGGCAGTGCTAACAGCATGTTACCTGTGGAATAGGTCAGAATCTAGTGCTCTTCCGGTTGCGGGTACCACGCCTTTCGAGCTTGTCAATGGCCGTCAGCCTGACCTTTCCCATCTCTGCATCTTCAGGGCACGCTGTTTCGCCCGCATCCCCTCGGAATTACAGTCTAAGTTAGGGCCCCACTCCTGTCATGCTATCTTTGTCGGTTACCCTGAGGGGACAAAAGGGTATCGCCTTCACGACCGAGACACTGGGGCGTTCTTCGTCGCCCGGGATGTCATCTTTGACGAGAATATGCCCAGTGTCTCTCTTCCTCAATCTGACTCCGACTCTGATGGTGATCAGCCCACTTCCAGTCCACTCCCCACCCTCACCATTGCCATTGGTCCTCCTTGCACTCCTTCTTCCCCTCTGCCCATTTGCCGGTCCACTCGTATGCGCAATCTCACAGATGCTGGCTGTGTATTTCAGGATGACATTGCTGCGTCCCATGCCCGTCTTGAGGCCCTTCGCGACGTACATCAGCGTCGCGTGGCAATTGAGGGGGTGCCAGCAGTAGCAGATGCTCCACCACCAGACGAGACTCCCTCCATCCCAACCAGCCTGGAAGAAATAGAGCCCAACACAGACGTACCTGAGGTATTCATGAACATCGTCATTGAGGAGCAGGCGAACATTACGATTCGCAGCGATCGCAAATGCAATCCATTGAGCACGGACTACGACATGAAGATTCCTCCAGCCACCTACAAGGAAGCGATGCTGCGTCCGGATTGTGAGCACTGGCTCACGGCAATGAAGAAGGAGCTTGGGATTATGTCTGAGATGAAGGTTTACAGGGTCACTGCGCTGCCTGAGGGACGATGAGCGATCGGGAACAGATGGGTTTTGGAATTTAAGGAGGACGATAAGGGAGGACTGATTTACAAAGCGTGCCTCGTCGCCCAGGGTTTCTCTCAAATTCCTGGGGTCGACTACAGTGCCACTTTTGCCCCCATCACTAAAACCGCCTCCCTGCGACTTATCGCAGCGCTTGCCTGCAAATTCGGCTGGGACCTTGACGTGTTCGACGCCAAAAGGGCGTTCTTATGGGGAGTGTTGAAAGAAGAGTTGTACATGAGGCAGCCGAAAGGTTTTGAGGAGGGGGACTGGCGTACCCAGGTATGGCACATGCTTCGTACCATCTATGGGGTTAAGCAATCTGCGATGGAATGGTATAAAGAGGTGCGTGCTGTTATGACCGAGCTGGGCTTCTCGCGCTGCCTAGTTGATCACGCAGTTTTTCTCTTCAACCAAGTCACTGCCAGAGTGCGTACAATCTGCATAGTGGGTTTCCATGTCGACAATGGACTCGGCACCTCGAACTCCCCTGCCTTCCTCGCCTCCATGAAGCGCAAGATTGATAGCCAGTGAAGGTACAACAATTCAGATGGTGAGTCTGAACAATGTTGGGTCTTGCAGAACCTAGCTGCTATTCGACCCTAAAGGGTTTCTGGACCAGGCTCAAGGCTCAGAGAAGAGGAAATATGATAGAAACTTGCTGAATACTCAGACTCATAGTAGAACTGGTGAAAAGGTAACTTGATTATGTAAGCTACAAAAGTGCAAACATAACACTAAGGTAAAAACAGTCTCTGCAAGCCCAGCCAGAAATGAATCCCTACACCGGTTTGGTATCAAAGACCTGGGGCCTGTCAAGAAGTTCCTTGGCATCCAGTTTGAGTGGGACCTCGTTACCCTTGAGTTATGGATGCACCAAGGGGAGTATATCACGTACCTCCTCGAAGAGTATGGTCTCCTGAACTGTAACCCCGTCCGTCTCCCACTTGACCCTCACCATCCATTCAGGAAACCGTACGACTCCTATGACGCCGTTGAGAACCTCTCCAGCAGATTCCGGAAACTCATTAGGGAACTCTTGTATCTCGCAGTGTGCACCCGCCCTGACATATCTTATGCAGTCAATTCCCTCGCTCAGCACAACTTGAATCCTTCACTCGCGCATTTCGCTGCTGCCAAACGACTTCTTCGCTACCTCTCCGGGACTCAGAATCTTCATCTCCATTATGGGGGTGCCCAGATCAATGAAGGTCTTCATGCTTATTGCGATGTGGACTGGGCAAGCTCCCCGGATGATCGACTGTCCATCTCTGGCTACGTTTGGTTCTTCGCCAGGGGAATCATCGCGCACGTGTCCAAAAAGCAATCCACTCATGCGCTTTCGTCCACGGAGGCGGAATACATGGCTGTTACGCACGTCATCCAGGAGGGACTCTGGCTGAAGTCTCTCCTCACTCAGCTCCACGTTCCGCTCACCGTCCCCATCCTCATCTATATGGACAATACAGGAGCCATCTCTCTGTCCACTGAAGCACGCAACCACATCCGGTCGAAACACATTGATATTCGTTACCTCTTCATCCGTGAGCACATCGAAAAAGGGACTTTCTTACTTAAGTGGCTTCCCTCCCACATGAACACCGCAGACATCTTTACTAAAGCGCTTGCATGTCCCCTCTTCGAGAGGCACTTGCCTGGCCTGCGCCTGGTGTCTCGGTGAGGGGGTGTGTTGACATAAGCACGTTCTTGATCACTTCTTGATATGTCGTTTCTCTTCCTTCTTGCTATGTACTATACAGCACCATCGCCACTCAGCCACAGATCCTCCATAGACCCATATGTACCTGCTTCGCGCCTTTTCCCACCTCAGCGTTGTTCTATTAACTCCCACTGAGGTGAGTATCTTGTATCGTGTACTTGACACACTCATTGACATGTAATGTTACCTAGTCTTCTCTAGGTACATATTAATATAGCATTGTTCTATTAACTCCCACTGAGTCTTCTCTAGACTTCTACAGTAAGGTCCCAAGGAGATTCGAATGCAACTTTGTGGGCCAAGGGCTCTACGAGGTATACGACACAGTCCTGTCATACGCTGCCAATGTATCCGAAAAGATGCTGATGAATACCAAGTTCAATGTATCAAACTGGTACGCAAAAAGGCTCACCCAAGGCTATTATGCTCTACAGGACGCAGTAGAGGAGTGGGCCTGTGAATGGGACTTATTCAGGCTGCTGGAAAGAGGACTGCTATCAGACATAGAATGCCAGCTGGATAAGCTGGCTAAATACATGGTGCAGCTGCTGCCACCTATGGGCATTAGGAAGGCTGGTGACTTGTTGCACATCGTGGAGCTGAACGGGGTAGCAGTACTGGCTGGGATGTACCCTGCCTTACAACGAAACACGGCGTTAACGCGCGATTTTACGCGTATGCTCCCCAAACTGATCGTAGTCGTCGTCCACATCAACAAATGTCCCGCACGTGCGCTAATAGATACCGGATCCCTGGCTGACTTCATGTCATTAACACTGGTGGAGCAGTTATGGATACCTCTGTGCCAATTGGCAAAACCACTGACCATTCAGTTGGCTGTGCAAGGCTCGCGCTCCAAGGTCAACTACGGGGCTAAAGCCCATCTACAGTACCAAGGTATTGACGACGAGCGGTACTTTGATGTTATAAACCTGCAAAACTACGACCTCATATTAGGTACACCCTTCTTGTATCAACACAAGGTGTCAGTGGGATATAACTCACCCAAGGTCATCATGGGCAGCAACATGCTGGTGCCCATGAAGGGAGACGAAGTCTCCGTGTTGGAATCGCGCGCCGCGGACTTGTACGCGGGAGAGCTCGATCAAGTACACAACATGCTGAAGGAATTAGCGTGGCCGTTGTGTGTCAAGGCCTCTGAGACCGGGTTGCCACCTCTGAGAGCCATCAATCATACCATCCCCCTGATAGACAAGACTAAGGTCTACCACTGGTGACTGTCTCGCTGTCCGGAGGCAATGAGACCTCAGTGGGCAGAAAAGAGGGCCACATACCTGGCATCAGGGCATTGGCAAGTCACAAGTGCTGGTAACACAGTGCCAATGTTGTTCTTGAAGAAGCCTGGATCGGACCGGTTGAGGACTGTGTTTGATTTGAGGGAACGAAACAACAATACAAAGAAGCTGTCGTCACCTTTGCTGGACATGGAAGGCATATTACGCCATGTGTCGTGGAAGAAATACAAATCTTTGATAGATGGTCAGGATGCGTACGAGCAGATTCGGATAATACCTGAGCACGTACCTCATTCTGCGGTGACGACGCCTGATGGCAATATGGTCAGTCAAGTCATTCAGCAGGGTGACTGTAACGCTCCCGCGACATACCAAGCATTGATGAACCACTTGTTTGGGGAACACATTGGGAAGTTTATGGACGTCTACCTAGACAATATCATTGTGTACTTGGACACACTGGAGGAGCACATTGACCACATCAAAAAGATCCTGGCAATCCTGGAAAGGGAGAAGCTCTACCTTAGCGAACACAAGCTGCAGTTCCTATGTGACGAGATCAAAATCCTCGGTCGCGTCGTTGGGAAGGATGGAATCCATATGGACCCTGCCAAAGTCGACAAGATCCTGGCCTGGAAGGTCCCCATTAACCGTACCCTCTGCAGGGGTTTTATTGGGTCAGTCGTGTACCTGGCGGATGACATTCACAAGGTATGCTTACCTTTGGGAGTGCTGTCGGAAGCTTCAGCCGACAGCGTGCCCTTTTGTTGGACACCCACGGAACAGCATGCCTTCGACGAGGTCAAACGATACGTGTCAGCTTGTGCATCACATAGTCAGATGCCATCGGACTACTCACCTGGTCATCCGCAAGTATGGATGATGACCAATGCCAGCGCCACCGGAGTTGGCGGAGTGATCGCCCAAGGTGACGAATGGCGAATGGCATGGGTGGCAGCCTTCTACTCCGCCAAAATGTCCTCGGCCCAGCGCAATTACCCTGTGCACGAGCAGGAGCTATTGGCTGGGGTGGAGATGATGACTCGCCACAGAGACATCCTGCAGGGGGTGAACTTTACCTGGCTGACGGACCACAAGGGTCTGGTCCACTTCATGCACCAAAAAAACCTGTCTGGGCGACAGGCACGTTGGCAGAAAATGACGGGTGAGTTCGATTTCAATATCGAGTATGTACCCGGGGAGGAAAACGTCCTGCCGGATGCGCTATCTCGAATGTACGAATTCGACGAGCCTGGCATGGTCAGGGCACTGAGTGAGTATGTGTCCCTGGATGGGGACACGATCTCACCTGCTGTGGCCAGTGTAGTCACTATGCCGGTGACTGTGGGGTTGGAGGCAGACGCCGAGACCCCCAGATGAAGCACACAGGTGGCCGCCAAGATAGGACACCTGGCAAAGGATGATGGGGGTGGCAGACGTGGCAACCCCACAAGGAACCATGTCACCTTGTCGACCAGCAGGTCACAACAAACCGACCTGCCCACTACAAAGCCAAGGACGCATCAAGCCGACCTGCCCACTACGAAGGTGGCGAGCTCACCTGGCCGGGGGTGACAAGAGATTGCACCAGCTGAGACAGGGAGGCCAGAGACTTCTGCGGAATTCGTGCGGCAGGTCAAGGATTGTTTCGTCCTAAAAGGCCCAGTCGAACGAAAGGAGGGAGGGGAGCACCTAAAGGAGCCAAACCCTGTAAGCATGGAACCAGACAAAGTGGGGGAAGCGCGCCCAGAAACCTCTAACCTGACAAGGGAGGAGTTTGAGAACCTACAGGAAGGTCTGACTGAGCCAGTGTTCCAACCGGCCAAGGTATCCATCACCTACCCAGAGAAGGAAGCCATGCTGTCTGAGGTAAAAGGACGGTATGAGGAGGACTCATTCTTCAAAACCATCTTGGACTCACCCGGTTCCTACAAGAACTTTGAGCTTAAGGACGGGTACCTGAGGTTGAGGCTGCAGGACCGGGAGCTGCTATGCATCCTGGACATCCTGGCTGGAGAGAGAAAACTGCGTGAAGTGCTGATAGATCAAGCACACTCGCTGTTAGCACATCTAGGCGCAAGAAAGACAATGTCGTACCTAAGGGAATATGTCTGGTGGAAAACTCTAGTACCAGACGTACAGGCATTCTGTGCCTCGTGTCGGACCTGTCAAAAGAGTAAACCATCGAACCAAAGGCTGTATGGACTGTTACACTCACTAAATGTCCCATCCAAGCCCTGGGAGACAATAGGAGTGGACTTTGTCGGACCACTACCGCTGTCAACTAACCAAGACGGTGAATTTGATAGTATAACAGTGATAATAGACTTATTCACCGGTATGGTACACTTAGTGCTGAGCCGAACAAACTACAATGCAAAAGAGGTGGCTGAGTTAATGTTCGCGGAGGTGTATAAACACCATGGCTTACCCAAGTCGATAGTGAGCGACAGAGATGTCCTATTCACAAGTGGGTTCTGGATGCGTCTAAATCAGTTGATCGGCATCAAACAACGGATGTCTAGTGTGTACCACCCGGAAACGGACGGTTCGACCGAACACGCGAACCGCACAGTAGGTCAGATGATCCGTAGCACGATATCACCCACCCAAACGGACTGGGTAGGACGTCTACCTGCGATAGAATTCGCGATCAACTTAGTGCATAATGAGTCGACGACTTACCCACCGTTCTTCGTGAATTCGGGACGTATGCTGAGACCACTGATATGGGAGACACCAGAGCCTACAGAATACCCCGGAGTCAGGGTGTATGCCCAGAGACTGAAGGCAACCATACTCACCGCACACGACGCAATACTCGCAGCCCGCATGAAGCAAACGACTGAGGCAAACAAATGCCAAAGGGCGTGCCCCTTTGTAGCCAGCGATCTGGTATATGTGTCGTCTAAGAACATTAGCTTCCTGAAAGGATTAGTAAGAAAGTTCATACCTAGGTACATAGGTCCATACCGGATACTGGAGGACTTTAAGAACAATTTGTATCGTCTGGACCTACCGGATAGACTGAAACAGCAAGGAGTACACCCAGTATTCCACTCGTCGTACTTATGGATCCATGTACCCAATGATGACCGAAGGTTTCCTGGAAGGTTGGAAATGCAGGTGGCCGAATTTGATGACCACGTGGAGTGGGAGTGGGCCATCAATCAGGTGCTGTCTCATCGAGGCACCAAAATGGACACGGACTTCGAAATACTCTGGAAGTTGGGCGATAGGACCTGGCTGTCATACAGTCAGGTCGAACATCTTGACACGTTGAAAGATTACTTCAACCTTATTGGCATTGAGACCATCGGTGAGCTGGCGGATGGCAATGGGGAGGCACCAACTGACACTCCCCAGGTGTTCCTAGGGCACCTATGTCTCACTCCGCACCCTACAAATACTCCTTCCACCATCCAACTGTTCTTGACATCCCTTCATCTCGACGAACAACCACCATCCCACATGCATAACCCTGCCTTCCACAACGTTATCCCCGCAGGACGAGGCCTTTACTCGTTCTCGGATATGCATGTCCCTCCTCGCCTGTACTCTGTAACCCGGAACCAGGTGAAGTCCTTCGTCGCCTATGACGCGCTCTTACACTCTGGTGAAGACCGTGCTGACTACCCTGTCCCCCTTGGTTATGACGACTTTGTGTTTACGTTCAACTTCAACGAGCCCGAGATTCTCGTGAAGTTCACCACCGTTGACGCCGACAACATTGTCAAGGTCAACGGACCCGCAGTTACTGTCCCCTTCCTAGTCGGGGAAGATGAAGCACCACCCACACTTCCTGACGCGGCTCAGCCCGTCACCACCACCGTTGAACCGGCCTTCGACCCGGACGGGGGTCATTGGCTTAACAAGCATAAGGCCAAGCTTATTGACGACACTCTGTGGGATAACCTAGCCAGGTCCCATCGTCAGAACTTGCGTCGTGACGAGGCCATTAAAGCACGCAAGGAAAAGAGACGGGGACCCTTCCCACCTTTGTCATACACGCCCGGAGTTCCTCACCCCCCTCCTAACACCAATAACACCCCCTCCAGCTCGCGTGCCCTGGCAGTGGGCGGCTCTAGTTGAGTCGTCAACCTGGGCGCAGCCATTGAGGGGGATGTCCGCATGGACAACACAGCAGAGGTTGAACCTAGAGTAGAGGCGGTGAAGGTTCAACAATACAGCGAGGCACGAACAATGCTCCTGACTGTATCTATAAATGTTGTAAGGTCACGCGTTGCCTAGTCTGCTATACTTGAGATGACAAGTGCATTCGACCCTAAAGGGGAAGTGAGTACAGCAAGGATCTAGTAGTAGGCGCCGAAGGCGCTACTGGTTGGTGAATGCGAAGCGTGGGAAAGCACAGGTGCGCGCGAGGCGCGAGAATGCGCGAAGCGCAGGAATACGCACGCGTGTATGCGGAAACAAGAGAGAGTAAGAGTGAGTTTGCTTAAGTGATGATTAGACACTTGGCAAGAGGTGAGAGATGCAAGCTGAGAGATGTTATATGCGAGGTGCCAAGGAATAGATTTCAACTAGGCTCTACTGGGTAGTAAATGGGTATTGTTGTGGTTCAGTCCTCTGTCATTTGTGGTGGGTGAGTAAGTGAGTAATAGTATGTACTGCTGGCGCTTAAGTATGGCACCTAAGCGCTGTCATGCAGAGCCGAAGCGCTACCGAGTAAGGTATGTAAGGATATATGTAAGTAAGGGTCCATGATAAAAATAAAGATGGAACAATATGCAAATGTGAGAAATGGACATATACGCACTAGGGAACTTGGTGGACAGTGGATGGATGCTTCCGGATGGCTGGCGATATAGGGCGCTCAAGCGCGGGAAAGCGCGCACGCATATACATCGTGAAGTGCGGGAAGTTGCGCGCACATTGTGCGATGCGCGGGAAAGCTGCGCCTCATGTAGGAATAGCTGTAGGAAGCATACAGAGTGATGCTACAAGTTCGTGCTGTATACTCCTTGGTGAAAACTGCAATATTGCACAAGGAGAGGCATGAGTCTCTACAGCGGGTGAGACGGCGAGCATCAGCAAGAAGGGCAAGGGGCGAAAGAAATGAGGGGTTTGACAACCCCTGAAGGGGGGTATGTGGCGTTTGCACACCACTATCCAAGTCCCTTCATTATACCATGTGATTCCGCACTTACAAAACATCTGATTGTTCTAGTATTCCATTTTGTCCCGCGCGGCAGCGCGTCTTATACCTATTGGCTCCCCCCTTTTCACGTGTTACCTTTAATAGTGTCACGGCTCGGCTCAGCTCTGACTCGGCTTTTACCGGCTACACCTGTAGTTCGTAAGTCGAACCATGTTGTCCAGCTTGGTTCGACTTGCTAGCTGCGACAAGCCATTTATCCAGAAATATTGACTTGAGCCGGTTTAAGCTGGCTTCAGTCGACTTCAGTCACATGAAATTTGGACAACATTCTTTCCGTGTCATGTGTGGTGTGCATGTTGTATCTGTCACTGTAATTTTTAGTCCTATCGCATAGCATGAATAAGGCTCCAATTCGTATTGACGGTAGATTTAGGCTGGAAGATGTGTTGGGGTCAGGTTCATATGGTATGTTCGTATGATGTTGATTTATACTCAGGTTCTCAACATATATCACTAGCTGTCATGTACCGCGCACATAACTTTTTCAATGATGATGTCGTTGCTATCAAACTTGAACCGGTCACCCATAACCCATCTTCCGTGGAGCACGAACACCACATTCTAAAGAAACTCAAAGGTGGAGTTAGGATCCCCCGCGCCCTTTGGTTCAGCAGGGAGTCAACATATCATGCTTTGGCCCTCGACCTCCTTGGGCCATCGCTGCACGATCTATTCCTCACATGCAACCAAAAATTTAGCCTTCACACTGTTGTGAACTTGGGAGAACAGCTGGTACTTTGGTTCAAATTTGTCGTGGACCACTGCAGATACTAATATATTTTTCAGCTGTCACGTCTCGAGTACATTCATTCACATGACTATGTTCATGGCGATATCAAACCGCAGAACATTCTCGTGGACAATTCGAGGCAAACTACCTATATCATTGATTTCGGTATTGCAAAGAGGTATTGGAACGCTGCAACCGAATCTCACATCCCGTTTCGCCGAGGTCGACATCTCACAGGTACCCCCATGTTTGCATCAATCAACAATCACTTGGGATTGGAGCTGGGTTGCCATGATGATCTTGAATCACTGTCTTATATGTTGATTTATTTTTTGCGTGGCTCCCTTCCATGGCTAAACAGTGTCGATGAGAAGCTTTCCAGCTCCTCGATACTCGAGCAGAAAGTAGATACCACCATCACTGATTTGTGTGATGGAATTCCCACTGCATTCGCCAATATTCTCGTCTACTCATGCTCTCTCTCATTCTCCGAGGATCCAGATTATGACCATCTCCGTTCTTTGCTTCATGATCTTCGCACTGCAGGGCCTGCACCAGTTACATGCTCCCTGGAATTTGATTGTCCTATCGCACCTTCTCCTCAATATTCTTGAGCTTCTGAATCAGTACCCCTATGTCTGCCGAAGACCATGCCTCTTCGTAGATCAACTCGTGTGTGAGTAGTTTCATTTATCCTTACACAACCGAACTCACCAACTCATCGTTTGCAAGGTTACGTCCACGCAATAATACCCTGATGCATGCAACCACTCCCACCTCGTGTCAGATAAAGAAATGAGTTGAATAGTCTGGTATTTAATTTTCTTTTTGTGGTACTACGCCTGCGCATGTTTGTGACGTTGTCTGATAGTATCTACATATGTATATATATAGCACATGGTCTGTGCATATGCTGTGTAATTCCCGAGTATCGATTCTCACGAGTCACAATGCCCCATCATAACATGTACTATCCCACGACCACAATGCTCTGATCTGCCCTTTCAACACTGTTTGTGATGATCACCTCAATTTTACCCATTGAAGTCAAACTTTCGCTTTTTGATCAGAGAATGTCAACTACGACTGTATGTTCTATGTGATCAGCTTGTCTTTCCCACTCCTCAGTCTACATTCAAGAATCAAACATTATGATCTGGCCGATACAGTAGGGACATAGCGCCAGGAGTTGTGATGCTATTGAGAGCTGCTAACCGAAATGTATGTACATGTCTTAATCGTTGTGTTTCGATCTTTCAACACTAAGGTTCAGGTGATTCTGTACCATTGTGCACATCAGTATTTTCCTGGGTCTTCCCAGGACAAGGGTATATATTATCTAGACAGGTATGTTTCTCATTACATCCCCAGCACTACTATTGCTTAACATGCGTGGCTGTCGTCGAAAAAACCCTCATATCCCCCAGGTTGAAGCCATTCCTGCTGCTTCTGCACCTATGCCTGTTGCTCCTGCACCTGCGCCTGCACCTGTGCCTGTCACTCCTGCACTTGTTGCACCTGCTGCTGCTGCAACTACCACTGCAGCTGCTGCAATTGCCACTACCCTCCATCGCCCTAGGAGACAATGACAGCCTCCTCGGAGATATAGGCAGGATGATGCAGCTACTCGTCCAGACGATGGCGAGTGGATTGACATTAATAATGTCAGTGGCGGTGAAGACGACAATGACCCTCCTGGAATCATACCCAATGCACACACACACCAAAGCCCACTACAGATAACGACCAGCACTCTCCCCACCAATCCCTTTGCCATGAAAAAAGAGGAATTAAGACTACTTCTGATGTACTGTTTTTCTTTAGGAAGAACTCAGACACCGGCGAACGCATTTGTGTACCATGTGAGTGAGTAACATCTGGGAGTCTTTTTTGCTTTTTCTTACCCCTTTTGCTAGGGATTTAAACAAGATCGACTCATCCTGTCCCCTTACTATTTATGGTCCATCTACGAGCAACACCCCTCTTCATTCCCATATATACAAGGTCCATATCGACCTTTACCTCCAGGAATCCGAGAGGCAGCAATGGCTGATCGGCATACATGCTGTAGGGGACTGCCTTAATGAAGGCTGGACCTTCGCCCAGATGCAGGAACAACTCAAAGATCCCACTTGTTCAATCAAGACACTCGGACCTCCCCCCAATCCCAGAGGTGGTGGTTCACTTCCCGGTGTTGGGAAGTCAGCATCTTTGGATCGTGACTTACCAGAATTTTCTGTTGAGGAGATGCATAGGCAGATCGCGAAATTTATTGTAGCTGACGACCAAGTGAGTACTGTCTACTTTCTATGTACTCTCATTAACCACCATCTCTAGGCAATCAGTGTTGTTGAGTGTCCAGAATTTCGTCGGCTGCTCTGCCTCTTGCAGAAAGACTTAAAGGATTCCCATATCCCCCATCGTACAAAATTTCGGCAACTGATCATCGATGCGTGGGATGAATATTTCACAGCCATCAAACTTGACCTCGCTGTAAGTGTATGGCTGCCAATTGTATATAGTATTTTCATATTCTTGCAGGCCGCCCAAGGACAAATTTCATTCACATCTGATATCTGGTCCGATTCTAAGCTCCGACCCTTCCTTGCTGTGACCGCGCATTGGATTGCGAAAGAAAACAAGAACGCGGCACTTGTTTTGAAGGCCACTTTAATAGCTTTTCATCATATCCCTGGTAGTCATACAGGGAAGGCACTTGGTTCAAAAATCTTGGAGCTGATTGATTGCGCAGAAGTGAAACATAATGTTAGAGTTTTATTGTACTCTGTTGCATGCTCTCACTCCATCTGAATTGGACACTTTACCCTGGACAATGCCAGCAATAACAAGACTGCGATGGATAAACTCTCACAACTATTGCGGAAAGATGGGATTGAATTTGACGCGGTCGATCACCGAATCCCATGTTTTCCACATATAGTGAACATCTGCGTCCAACACATCCTCGATGAACATTCTACTGTAGACTTTTCACATTTGGCTGACACTTTTGTAGCTGGCCCTTACACTTTCAAGAAGGTGGAGTACGTCAAGGCTCTACAAAATCAAGTTATCGATCAGGCCAGAAATATTGTGCGTGTGATCCGTGCATCAGGCCAGCGTCGTGATAGTTTCCGAGCTGCCATTACTTCTGGCAATGCAGAGGGATGGTTCGTAAATGACAAGAGCGAGCGTATGACCCTCCCAATAGTTGAATTGTTATGTGACGAACCTACTCGTTGGGATTCAACATACATCATGTTTAATCATCTGAGAATTCTACGACAGGTAACATTTCATCTCATTAAAGTTTTCACACAGCCTAACAGTTACCCAGGCCATCAATCATTGGATTGGTCTTCCCGCTCAATGCAGCATAGCCCATTATAAATTGAGCCCCATTGATTGGCAAGTCCTGCAGGATCTTGAGGTTATTCTAGAGGTATGTTCAATATGTCCAAACCGTATAATACATTTACTGTTTTACATTAGGCACCGCACCACGCTCAACAATGCATGTCCAGCAAAACCAGTCCTTTGTTGAGCAGCACCATTCCAGCCTTCAAAGGGTTGATCCAAAGATGGAACCTTGTGGCAGACCTTGTCCCACACTGTGCACCTTTGGTTGGCATAGGTTTAACTTGGGCAGCTAAGTATGATGGCCGAATGAGCCTCACAGGCGCATATGCCGTTGCAATGTGTCAGTCCCACATATTTCGATCAAGGTGAATTCTCATGATCATGTATAGTCATCGACCCCACAAGACGTCTATCATGGATGAATGAACATTGGACAATCCCGCGAATCACAGAGGCTAAAAACTACATTCTCAAACTGGTATGTCCGCCTGACAATAACATCAGCCAGTCATTGGACTGATATGTCCCATAGATGCGGAACAAGAGAACAACAAATGTCTCCATGCAGTCCGATCAGTCAATTCCTCATCTACGCCCTGCAACACTGAACTCAACAATCTATGGACTTCCTGAGATAAACATACTACCGCGTCGCCAGGGTGGCCCCCAATCAGTCGAAGACGAGTTCAATGCTTATAGTATGGGTGTTCTTAGCCCCACAGGAACAGATCTACTATCTTTTTGGAAGGTAAGAGTCCTATATTTTTATTGCAGGTTTTGTTGATGACAAGGCATTGATGAACTAGGTTTCGGAACCAATGTTTCCGACGCTCTACAAGATTGCAATGGACTTTCTGCCCATTCAGGCCTCTGCCATTCCATGCGAGCGCATATTTTCCTCCAGCAGTGATACGTTTACCAAGAAGCGCAATCATCTCAGCCCGCACTTGATGGAAGCCCTACAGGTGGTGAAATTTGCGCTGAAAAAAGAGCAACTGCACTTCACCAAGGGTTGGGCAGCATCCCAAAGGGATATGGAGTATAACTTGATGTGTGCCATTGGCTCTGCGAGCCGTGAAGATCTCTTGGCATCTGGCGGTGATTTACTGATATCTGCCATTAGTGGAACTACTTCTGGTGGTTGTTACAGGCATCTGTAACACCTAAAGGAGCCCCAGCTCTGCCTACGCCTGCCCCCGCTCTGCTAGACTCCCCGCGCCTAGAAAGACAGTGGTCTGGACCGCTGTGACCCCGCCCCTGGCCTAGACGGCCTTGTACCTGGTCCATGGAGGCTGTACGCCTCATGGTCACCCTAGATCAGCGCATGCATACCGCATGTCGCTTCATGAAGATCCGGAGCACGTCTGGCGCTTCCTGTACCTATGCGCAGCTGCCCTTGGTGCAGCATGCTTGATCAGAGGTTAAGCCTCATGTATCTTATCTGAACCTCATGTCTTGCTATCATAGATTTACGATATACTATTGATTACAGACTGAGCTAGAATACTTGTAGTACTTCCCTATAAGTAGACACAGATTATTGTACTTAGACTTTACTTTAATCTACTAGGTTCATCCCCAGAACTTGCTCATCTAAGCTTACCAGCTTCCTTGTGTGAGACCGCACTTCTAAGTCGCCCCCATACGACTTAGCACATATCCGCTAGCCCTGCATCTCGACGAGCGCCGTCTTACCGAGATCGCCGGAGGAATCCTTGACGTTCCGTCAAGGCCAGACCACCCTCAGCTTCAGTAGACTCACTCGAGTCGTCGCTGAGAAGACCTATCCTAGTTCGCACACGCCGACCGACGGTCAGCGTAACAGTGGTCACGATTATGAGGCCCTTCTCAGAGTCATCGCGGAGGACGAATGTGATGATGTTCCAGATGATATCGCAACCATATCTATGCTCATCTCTTAATTCTTGCTTGTTTACTGCTACCTTTACCGTTCCTTTCATCTTACTTTTGTCATTAGACTGACCTCAACTATCAATTTATTTCTCCTCTCAACATATCTTTATTATCCATACGAGCTGCAGCAAAGGCGCCAGTAGTGACTGCACAACTGGTTTTAGCATTTTTCGTCAAACCATCGAACTCACCCTAGACGAACTTCCAGGTGAGGCAAATACGACCAGATGTGAGCACTGAACTTCCCTCCTACTCTGCCCCCACCCTAACTAACTACATGGATTGCAGTGAAGGCACCAGCAGTGACTGCGCAACTGGCTTTAGCATTTTGCGTCAAACCATTGTACTCAACCTAGACAAACTCTCAGGTGAGGCATATATGATTTAGATGTGAGCCCTGAACTACCCCTCTACTCTGCCCCCACCCTAACTAACTACATGGACTGCGCAACTGGTTTTAGCATTCTTCGTCAAACCATCGAACTCACCCTAGACGAACTTTTAAGTGAGGACAACTGGATGTGAGCACTGAACTTCCCCTGTACTCTGCCCCCACCCTAACTAACTACATGGACTGTGCAACTGGTTTTAGCATTTTTCATTGAACCATTGAACTTACCCTAGATGAACTTTTAGGTGAGGACAACCGGATGTGAGCACTAAGCTTCCCCTCTACTCCGCCCCCACCCTAACTAACTACATGGACTGCAGCGAAGGCACCAGCAGTGACTACGCAACTGGCTTTAGCATTTTTCATCTGACCATCAAACTCACCCTAGACGAGCTTCTAGGTGAGGAATCCAATGGTAAAGACAATTGGTATTTTGCTTCACATGTTCTAGGTGATGTCTGTCCTCATGTATATTCCTCAAGAACTTCCTGAATGACTTCGTGTTTGAATCTACGCTAGTGATATGTGAGAATATAGCACAGCAGACCCTGGAGTGCACTGATTTTATCAGCCAGGCCGAAGAGTGCCGGTGAGTCAATCCCACCGCTTCGTCTCCTGGGACTCAATGTTGTCTGTTTGTATAGGAATCACACTCGCTAAGCATGTTTTCGATGCAACAGACAGCACGCTTCAAAGCTACAGCAAAATTTTTGACAGTCTCATACATCAATTCCAAGACCGGGCATCTAAGTTGTGAGTCGTGACACTGTTGTTATCATCTGCGCTGCATGTTCAGCTTTTACTTTCATATCATACAACAATGGTTAATCTATACTCACATCTTTCATTTCACACTGCACAGCTCATTCCGGCTCCTGCACCTCGCAACCCAACATCTTCGACAACCAATGTACCCACTTCGACAGCCTTTTGACAACATTCACTCTTTCTACCCCTCTCTGCCCTGATTTGTGGCTTCGCGAAGCCATATATGCTCTCTCCAACTCTACTGCCTTCTGCTCGCATTTGTTTCGTAGCGAGTGACTGACATGGTATATGCGCTAATTTTTGTTTTAGCACATGAATCAAACATCAGCAGGGTCGCTTACTGGAGCAGGCGGACTCATCGCAGTGTTTGACGTGCTTGTTGCAATCATGAAAGCTAAAGGCTTAGTGTAGTGTCGCTGTTGAGCCTGAGGTGAGTTAAACTCGGTGTGAATTCGATTCGGTTCGGAAATGTCAAATTTGTGTTAACTTGAAACTCAGAACTAAATTGTATTATAACTCGTTGGTTTCGATCGGTTTTGTGGTTGGGTGGCCTTGCCATTGGGATACGGATAGTATTACTGCATAACCTTTTATTGGTACCCGAGCCTGCTGCGTTCTTCGTTAATTGGCTACTCATAGCATTTTGTGGTCTCGCGAGTGCAGTACTTGTCATTTGGAAACAGCGAGCTGGACTGGTGAGCGTTGAATTCGTCCTTCATGGTCTCCTTGAATCCTGACTGAATCGAATAGCTTCTAGGATCGGCGTCTGTCGGTACTTTCTTGTGCATCCTGGGGACCGACTTGGCTGTTAATCAGCAATCTGGCATGAGTCAGGGCCTCAGATATTTGATTGACAGAAACAGTTATCATATCGTGGTATGTACTCACCTTGAATTGTTCGAAGACAATCACAGTTTAATCAGATTGCAGGACACCATGAGTAATGGGTACTTTCCGCCCACAGGCACATTGGTTATGATTGCACTCTCCATTGCACTGATGTATGTGTCGCCAGTTTCTTATGTCTTGTATCGTAAGCCTGATATATTGGCACGGGACATGAACAGACCTGCATTCGCATACGCCCAACATAGGTTCTTTAAGGGTCCTTTCTGCCCAGTTCACGATAACGATATCGAGTCCCTTCATGCATCAAACAAGTTTCCGGCTGACGAAGAACCTAAACCATCAGGCGAGGAAATACTGTCTAGTTCGCCAAATTCATCACCTGTGTCAGCTTTGTCACAATCGATGCCTTTGCTTAAAGATTGTTGCTCGATACCTGCTGCCATGGAGAAAGTATGAATGACCGAAGGCGACGCAATCGCGAACGACAGTTAATGTTCATCATAGCCGTTCTCTCATCCATCCATTCAAGAACTCATCCGCACATTCAAGATCTCTATCGGAGAATTACTGGATCTACCGTGACAGTGAGCTCGTGCATAGTTGGGTACATGTAGACTGGGAAGCAGGGCAGGCGGGTGTTGAGGATCTGCTCGCAAGGTAACTGATCTTATCTCTGATTCTCAGAACCTCACACATTATCATGTTCGTAGACAAAACAACATCTCATCATTCGGGTCAACTGGCAATTGCGGTCTGCCAGAAGATGACGTTGATGATCTGATATGGAGCGACGAAGATGAACGATGACCGGACCTGCAGCACTGTTCAATCTAGCGGTCACGTAGCTCAATAAATAACCTTATGAATCAACTCTCCACTTGCTTTCGCTACTGAGGCAACAATGAGGACTTGGACCACTCCCGAACTCGTTAGTCCAAGCTGTTGATTTACCAGAATGTTATACTTTGATTTGATTTGATTTGATTTGTCTCGGCAGCAACACTAAGATTCTGATTCTTGGGTAGGCTACAGTGAGTCAGCGACCGGTGCTCAGTAATTTTATTTTGAGCTGGCTTTGAGCGGCTATTTTAGCCGAGCCGAGCCGTAAATTATATAAGCCGGAACTAATACTTAGTTCGGCTAATCATAGCTCTAGCCATGGTTAAACCGGCAATAAGCCGGAGCCATGGCAACACTAGTTACCTTACAGAAACGTATAAAAGACCCTCGTAGATAGACATGTAGAGTTGGCGTTCTTGCAACTAAGCTATTACCTGGTGATATTGCTTGATCGTCTAAGTGTTTGCTATTGTGTCTTCACCTCAAGTATAACTACTTCGAGCTGTCGCCACAGCTCCCGTGACGATTTCTCAATTCATACGTTTGTGAACTTTGAACGAAAGATAATCCATACAGAAAACCAACACTTTGCCGATATATCAAATAAGTACAACAAAATATTGGTCTATCCAGACCTATTTGTATCTAAATATACTTCTGACCAGAACACAGAATCACGTACATATAAATACCAAAACGAAATATCGAGCAAAAACGAACTCTCCCGCTCCCTGCAGAATATCTGCCGAGTGTAAATCACATCGAGCATCTCTCGCTACACACTACTGCTGGTTGACACATGCACGTCCTCCTGGAAAGCAATTGAAGCCATGCCGCTTGCTAAATCGGAGTTGGCCACGTTGAGCTTGGCATGATATTCTCGAACGCCAAGGATCAGGCGCGGTCCTAGCACGAACATCTGCACAGAACGGAACACTAAAAGAAACCCAAAATAGATATAGGCTTGCATGGAATTTGGATCCTTTATAAATGATGAACCATGGTCGCATGCAGATGTTAGCAACTAATCGACATACCGCTAAAATTGTCGAAAAAAAAGTACCGAGACCGAGGCACGAAACACCAACAACACTAGCACGTCCGGGACGTCAGCGGACAAGGGGACCCACATTCACCTATGAGCTCACCTCGCAAAGTAAACTACGTGAGTTTTCATCAACACTGTGAAGCAGTCATTGATAATTCCTCCTGCAGAATGGCGTCGCAATTCACGGAAGTGTTTTACGGCAATCCAGACTGCCAGAAACAGTGCGAGGACCTCCCATACAGTGCCGAGTATCCAAGTTATTGAAGTCAGAAGTAAATAATCTCCCTTGTAATCAGCTGTGCACTGATAATTGCCGAAGAGAATGGCCTCCTCTGGTATTGATTCGTGAGCCTGATGCACTGAAGTCTTCGAGCCATAATTAAACATACCCACTGAAATATTCTTCATTGTCATTGCGGAAGCCACTCCGATGAAAATGATGGCGGAAACGAAGATGACAACGAGAGGTATCAGCACATTTCTGGATCGCTGATACATGGCATATAACCGAACGAGCATGATCACTTGCATGATATTTCAGTTACCTCGAAATCACCGAGGTATTCACTCACAGCCCAGCATTGCAGTTACGACCATGGCAATCCAATCCACTGCGATGGTCAGGATAAAGCCTCAAAAATTCAGCGATGTTAGTGGTCAGCCTCAGGAGATCAAACACTCGAAACCAACTCACAGCTGTGGCAGTCAGTATATCGAACTAACAAGATGGTCAAGAATCTCACTCACCCCTACATGGGAGTGCAGGTAATTAGACGGGAATGATACGCATTGCTGTGAAATACTTACTGCATCTGTCATTGATATCGTCGGAACATTCACTGCATGCAGCCCGTCAAAAGAAACAGACATAATGTATGAGGAGACATACATAACACAGAGAGGCTGATTATGAGACATGGTCGATGAGCACAGCACCAGTTACCTTGTCGACCAGACTTACACAGAGTATGATATTCCAAGATAGCGCACCTAGGATATTTTCATGTCAGCACGACCTTGTTGACAAACAATTATAACACAAGTCACATACACTGAGAAACAATACGGTTATAAGGGACCAGCGTTGCTTCTGTCGCAAATTGATTATATTTTTGAGTTGTGCTTTAGTGCGGCACTCTGCTCACCCAGACTAGTTCAACCTATGAGCCAATTCTTAGTGAGATTCTTGCTCCGGTCATGGACATGAACATACCTCCAGTCCGAAAGTTAGTACTAAAAATACTGTAAGAATATCTCCGGTTTTTCATACTAGGTCGCTCACCCCAATCGTACATTACCCCAGTAGAGGCGACAACTACGAAAACATACTCCAGGTTAGATCGGAATATCGGCCGACTGGACATCCACGAACCTATAAAATAGCTGCTAATACGATACGAACTGATCAAGGGCCACAAACTGGGATCATTTAAGATTAGAGTCATGGTATTTGAGGAATAGATGTGAGCGAGCTTGCGAACCCAGTAGACAGGCATGCGTGCATGATATAGTACCATCCAGCGCTTGTATGCCCCAAACAAACATAAAGGAATGATATTCGTTGCTGTTGTGATGACAAAAATCCACAGGATGTTAGATATGACATATTTGACTTTGCACTGGAAGGCACTAAGCACTGGTTTGCGTTGCTCATAATAGATAAAACCGCGGGGTTCAACATACTAGTATACCCTGAATTCACGATGTGATATAGACTGATCATGTGCATGATCGTCCAACATAGTGGTTAGCAACTTGACAATGTGGTCTATTTGAAAGTGAATCTCGTACTAAGTATGACATAGAGGCCGAGAGCGGAGCCGAGAGAGCTGAAGAATTCGGTCAACAGGAGGCTCTTATGAGTGGCTTGTGCTATGCCACTGGATGTCACATGGGTAGACATAGTCACCCATTGCTGTTTCGCAGCTGCTGGAATGTGACGGCGGTTCAGGCAGAGCCTCGAACGAGTGACCATTTGAAGGTACTTCACGCACGTGACCCTTTTGTTTGAAATCCGGTCTATCGATATGGAAGTGGCTGTAAAATCGTTGATGGTTGATCTCGGAGAGCGAAGCACGGAGTACGAAAGTTTGCAATTTGAAGGGCTATCAGTCGAAGTAGTAGTGCCACGCTAGTAGTCCCCTTGACTATCAATCACACGTTCAGGCACCGGCCCAAAGTACCACATCTTTCCCGATTGCGCTGCGGCACTAAAATTGAAATAGGATACTGCGGCAAATGATACCATTTGCTCCATATTGTCCACGACCACCACTGCAACATGCTCTATCGCCTGGATCTTTAGCATGGGCAGTAGACCCTTGCAGCCTCAGCAAAGAGGAAAAGGTTATCTTTGTGATATGCGGATGACGGTCATGGACCTCAGCAGGTTATGAAAACTTCCTGTGGATATCACACGCTGCAGAGAAGATCTTGAAAATGCTGTCCCATAGGCAACACTGTCACTCACACTCCTCAATTTTTTTATTGATTGCGATCAAAAAATCCCATATTCCTCGGATTCCTTGACCTGTAATCCAGAAACGCAAATTTCGAGCGACGAAAGGGATATTCAAACTTGCAACGCACATGGTCTTTTTGAAGTAATTTTAGAGGTGTAACTGTGGTAGCCTGTTGCAGCGAAGGATCACATGGCTTCCTGCAAGCAAAGATATGAGAGCCTTGAGTTGAAATAACTTTGGATGCCTTTCGAGACTTGAAATCAAGGCGCGCGCCGAAAGCTTCAAGTACTCGCTGGAACCGAATCGTTGAAGGCGTGTTTGTGAAGTCCGTCGCATAGAAGGTTGTCGAGAGCATTCAAAGCAGATATGGACATGGGCATGCAGATTCAATGTTAAAACTCATGATCATCATATACTAGATGGTCCCACGAGTCCGTGTGTCCCAAGAGTCCGCGCATTGACTCTAGCACACGCAATTCTGCACAGAATCCTTATCCATGATAGATCTGGATTCGCCCAAACATAATACACACTCCCATATATATTTTTTGAAGAAAATCGAAGTAGATCTTGTTCCATGGGCAACTTATCAGTGCGAGAGGCATAGAAGGCTCACTCTAAAGGTCAGATCTCCACATATAATTCTGGAATATTGTGAGATGGTTATATACATGATTAGAGAATACTAAAACAAATTTATTCGGGGCACATGCTTGTCAGGATCATCTGCGATAAAGAAATAAGCCCCAGACGTGACAATCTGCCCAAAGCGTTACATAGAGACTGTGTAATCAAAACTCCGCAATGCCGAAATGCTTTACACATGCACAACTTCACAACATTTAAACGGTGCAAATTCTGCGGAGCGTGAAAAGGCATTGCGGCAGACGTGTGACATAGTGTGACGAAGTGCGCGAACTCTAGGGAAAATGCACTTTTCTGCGCGGTAACTCTCCGCTGGACTCAACACGTCAATTTTCGAAAAAGAAACTAGCAGACGTTGTACTTTCGATGTCACGCTATCGAACTGTCAAATAATTAATTTTGTTTGTTTGTGCGATGTGGAGTAATAACCGTTTTGCCAAAAAGGCGCGAACTCCCGTGGACATCTAGTAGAGATGCAGTACTAGACTCGGAGTACGACCACAGCGGCCGGCACCTGCAAATTTTTAAACTCCGTGCTTCGCCTGCCAAATCTCTCCGAGATCGACCAGTCTCAATGCCTCCGCGACCTGTAGTAGAAGGACCCACTCAATGCCATCATGTCTAGCCACTCGCCATCATGTTCTTCGTACAATTCTCTCACCAAGGGATCTCAGCATCGAGCTCTCTGTCTTGCGTGACGCAAAACAATCCAGGTCATTTGTTACTGGCCGGCGGCGGACTCGGAACGCCAGCAGCTGCACCCGAGCATACAGCAGTAGCGCTCAAACCTCTGACTATCCTTTAGGAAAGAAGACGTCTTCAAGTAAACACGAGGTTTCAGCTCTCTTACACAGAATATCAGCATTTTTACCTCGCGCACTACCGGGATCTAATACCACTGACGGACGAATACAGTCTTCCCAGCTCTTGAGTAAACTTTTGAGCGAAGTCGACGCAGATTTATGTTCCCCGCCAGAAGCGCGTACGAGTGCTCGCGTAGTTGGTGAGTCCTCCATCCGACTTTTTATGTTCATGTATCCGACGAAGTAACCTATTTCCAGTGTGCGGAGCTGACCAGTGGGCCGGCTCTCATGAGCTCATCACAGCTCTCCTCGAAAACCCGTTTACAACTGATGAAGCTTACAGCGACATCCTACGAAACCGGTGGAAAAACCAGTCTGCTTACCTTACAATCGAGTGCGTCCATGTTTAATGTTCGATGTCGGTGCACGGTGCTTAACAGATATTCTGAATAGGTATAGACCATCAACTTCCCTCGTCAATGGCACCCTCACCATCCCTGCATCTTGGCTCCAACAATATCCCTTCCCCATACAACTCACCGAAATCTCATCCCTCTCCTCCCATCCCTCCCTCCCAAAAACGCTCCTCAAAGGAGACGTGCTAATCTTTATTTGCAATCCACTAACAAAAGACATACCCGCGCTCATCTCCAATGCCCAACATATTCTTCAAAGACCGAACACAATACTTGTTCTCACTGCTTCTAGCACATCCGAACATGCACTAGATTACATTTCCAAGGAACTGGCAGCTGCAAATTGCACCCCCGGAAAGATTCTTGCTGTAGACCCTATTCGTGCTTTGGAAGCCGTTTCTGCTCTCAAGGCGGATCCTTCGTCTCCTGCTGCTATTCAGAGATACCAGGAGGATTTTATGGGGTCGAGGATATCGCTTCTTGGTGATGTTTTGGCGGGGATGCTTGGGTTGAAGGACTCGGGTAGCACGTCATCGTTGTTGGCTATCCGCACCCAGAGTGCTTTGATACAAATGCGGAGCGCGTTGTATGCTAGTGCTCGATCGGTATCCCAAGCACGCCTAGCGATAGACCGCATTTTTACAGGTGCCAGCGAGCTGCAGTGCCAAGTCGAAGAAGTCCGTGCGAGAACAGACAGGGAGGTGCTCGTAGAGTCCGGAATAGATGAAGCTCTGCTTCGCGGTTCGAAAGAGATGAAAGCCGTACTAGAGTCGTTGACCTGGCTGAAAATGGTATGGCGCGTCGATGAGATAGATTCTTTGGTGAGTTCCGCACTGGACAGGTACTGGTGTAGGGAACTTGAAAACCAGGTATGCACGCATCGCATAAATATTTTTTTCTATTGTAAATTTGATAACCTATAGCTCATCCTCCAAACGGGTCGTCTCGCCTCTACCCAAGCATCCCTAACATCATCCACTTTTTCTCAACTCAAAAAACTCGCATCCCCATCCCCATCCCCATCCCCATCCCCTGCCTTCCATTCCCCTATTCTTGACAACCATCTCCGTCAACTGACACACTCCCCAACATACGCACTCACCCCAAATACCCTTACCCGCCCCATACAAGCACGGCGTTCCCAGCTGACACAACACACCACTACGCGGTTACACCGCGATGCCCAGAACGCAGTGTTGGGTGCGTTTGGTGGTATGTCCGGCGGTGCTGGTATTGCATGGTGGCTTGCATTTGGAGAGAGCGCTTTGAGTATTGGCACTGGTTCCGAAACTGGGACTGCGTTAGGTGCTGGTGCACTCGTTGCTGTTGCTAGTATAAGATGGGCGGTGGGTAAATGGGAGCGAGCAAAGAGGAAATGGGTGGAGGATGCTGATAGGGTTGGGGAGGGGCTGAAGAGGGATCTAAAGGTGAGCTTCGATAGATTTTTGTTTTGTATTGACTGGGCTTATGTGTGTGTATTTTATAGGCGACTCTGGAGCGAGGGATTGAGAAGAATGTTGCGGTTGTTCCTATGGCGGCGTATGAAGGGCTGCGAGAGCTTGCTGGGAAACAACAGGAAGAGATCGATGTTGTCAGGAGCGATCTTATTTCGATGCAAGCTGACGTTGAAGCGCTTGAAACTGTTCGACCTTCATAGTATGTAGCATGATTGGATATACTGCATCACATTCGTCACAGATGATTTTGATTCAAGTAGATGCTACGCTAACTCGTGTACGTGATGCTATAAAAATTCCGCTGCATTCATGCCACCGTTTGTTTAGGAGCGAATCAGAGACCTTATTTTGAGACGGCGGACGTTGAAGTGCTTGCTCGACCTTCAAAAGAGTGCAACATGATTGTATTTGTTCCGGATGTTTAGATTTATGTATATGCAAATACATGCTGAGCTAAATGATGGTGTACATGATGCCATAAGAATCCGCGTGCGTTCATGAACTCGTAATAAGTATCTTTGGAGGGGCAAGGGGAACGTGTTGCGAATTTTCGCGCTGCGGTCGTGGTGTGCCTGCACCATCCTCTTCGTCACTGTCATCACCAACACCAAACAAATCTTCTCTTTCGTCCCAGACGTCATGTAAACGGGCGACTTTAGCAGGCTTTGACCTGGATGGGGCTGAGGGATGAGAGTACAAGGGTAGGAGTTGTGTTCCAGACGTTCCTTCGTCTTCTGCATCGGAAATATCGCCTGTCTCTAAGGGACGGTATAGGCGTGCGATCTGAAGAATTGGGGGTCGCGTGAGATTGCTGGACGAGGCAGGAAGCGGCTCACCTCTCGCCGCGAACGGTAATATCTCTCGATATAATATGCTAGATAGAGTCCGACGGTGGAACCTAGCCAATTTGCCTGTCGAGCATGATTACTGGATGAAAGACGCCAGAGCCAAGAGAAGTAACATACCACCACATCACCAGATTGAAATTCCTTATGCTAGTTCCGCATGATATAGTCGTACTCGGTCAGACGAGGAAAGTGGAACGTACTGGAAGCAGGGACTGCACGATCTCGCTCACGAACCCTCCAAAGAAGAAACATACGACAGCAGTAAATATCAGCCCTGAATGGCGCCAGAACCAAACTCTACGAGCTTCTCTATAATGAAACCCAAATATTCAGCAAATATCCAGTTAGCTAAAATGTGAGAACTCACTCCTCCACATCGAATATAAAGTAAAACACGCCCGTCGCGACACACAGACAAGTAAAGTGTAGGAACTTGTCGTTCAGGGGTAGGGCCCGGGAATAGTTCGTGAAACCTAAGAAGGCGAGTATCACCATTATCACGCAGGTGAACACGAGGAACCACTAATGAATTTAGTGATTATGAGCGACTAATGCCTTCGTGTGATAGTCCCGAGGGAGGCCTACCGGTCGCAGTCGAACGGGTAAGTCGTACTTTGGAAGTTGAACTCGGTGAGACTTCATTATGGCTTTTGAAATTTTCTTGAGATGCTTGCGCATTGGCTTTGACGGCGAGGTTGGAGAATTTGATGTCATGGGTAGTCGGATGAGTGCTCAGCCATGGCGAGCGCGGGTGAGCAAGTCGATTACGGCTCCGCAGCCGGGAAGTTATTTCCTTATACAATTGTAAGAACGCCGGAGCCCCAGGCGGGAACTTCTAGCAGACTTGCTCCGATATGTATGCAGGTGAGTTTCTAAGTTACTTATTTTCTTGACGAGTTCTTTCAACCTACACAGCAGAACATAATATTTCTCTGCCGCAAGGTAATGTACTTATAAAGATAACGCAAAATTGAACACGGACTAGCCTATCCATGAGGAAACTAATACTTATGATGGAACCTGAGGCCTTGAGGCCTGAAACGCGCCTCCAATTGATTCTACTACACAAACTGCGGAACGCACAAATAGCAAATGTACAGATATCATGATAACACCATAGAACACATGGACAACAGATCCTTGATGACATTTCGAACTAACTACTATTGCTTATCACCAAGTGTAGAACTGGTAGTAGTACTCCAAGCTTCAAGTTTGAAGATAAACAATGTTACTAATGTCCGTGAGTTGTGTAGGTTCGGCCTATCGATTCCAAGTTAGATACCAAATTTAGCGGATCAGATGCTCGAAAACTCGACGATTTATGTCCGGACATGAGGCCTCTGCGTGAATGTCGGGATTCTGGCCAGTCTTGGTACAGGCATATGCAGACTTCAGGTCTACGTCTGGGTACAGGTCTAGGTACCCCAGCACGCTCGGCAAATTCAAGCGGGGTTGAATCATTCACCTGTATTAGGTACGGCTCACCTAATAATATCATCCCGAAGTTCCTGCCTGCTGCTCGCTAGTTATTAGGAATACTATTTCTATGTCTGCCCGCCACCACTGGAGGTGGTGTCAATGGAATCCTTCATTTAAATACCGCTCGAACCGAGATGGCAGCCCTTTTCAGCTAGAAATTCGTTGATGGAGTATGTCGGGCGCGATGAGGACAGAGACGGTGTGCGGCTGAGGTTGTAGAATATCCTCTTTGAGAAGGCTAGTACACCGGAGAAAGGTGCTAAAATGGAACTGGCATGGTGGCAAGCTGATCGTGTTGCTACATGCAGCAAAGAGAGACATGACGGCGGCGGCGTGTGGAAGCGTGAAGTGGGGTATGCCGATGTCTTCAAACTCCGTCAATCGCCACCAGACTGCAAACGGTAGTGACCTGGAACTTCGAAGTCAGACTTATACCATTTCAGGAACGCCCTCACCTCAGCAGTGGGGTCCGGATTAGTACTTATCGAGGGATAGATCAGGTCTTAAACAGCGCCGAAAATGACCGGGCGAGCTATCTAGCTGGAGCACTCTATGGTGGCAGAATGTAAATATGGTCAACCCTCCCTTCCTCGGATTTCAAGTTGGCGAACCGCCCACAGTAAATACCAAGTATTTGGTTCTCAGCGCTCAGCGCTGAGGGCAAATTGTCCCTGAATCCTTCTCAGTAAGTGATCTGAGAAGACATGTGCAGACTTACTAGTAAAAGCTTGTAGAGTTGCCATGCTCCGAGTCGTAACCTTGCATAGCAGCTAGCAAGATACGAGGCAGCCGGCGCAACGCTGTTCATTTGTGATTGCCAATCTTTGTGGGTTTCTTTTCTTTTTACCTTGACAATAGAATGCGATCACTGAAAATAAACGAGATTAGCTAGTCCGACAGTCGATTGAAGCAAACGGTGTTACTAACCTGACGGTGATCATATGTCATACCTGCCTTCAAGCTGCAAGCAGATCGTGCTCGATTTGTTCCGAGTTGGAATGCTAACAAGAATGTTGCTCAGGTGAGCAGCTCGTAATATAACCTACAAACTGCTACCCTAAAATCTGTCCAGGTGTAAATCAGGCCTTCGCCATACTGGCTTGCATTTGTCTAGTCGGACAAAGTATAGCTCCCCGCGACGGCAGAACACTGAAATTTGTCATGATTGCATCAAACATACAGCCCTCAGACCTCAAACAAATATGGACTGGTCTCTGGCCTCCCTACCTACCTACCTACCTACCTCCATGCATTCAGGGGTCCTCGTATCACTTGTGACCAACGGCCGTTTTATAAATGCCGCTAGGGAGACGCTCGGGTTCATTCACCTTGAAAAAGGATGCAGAAAGCAGCGTAGTAGCACAAGTTACATCCCATCAAAATGGAAGGTACTACTACACACAATGGCTCTACAACGTTGTTGGGCGACGTAACATTTCGTATCGCATCGGCACCAACAGTAGACACCAGCCTTTACGGTCTGTCTTCCGAACAAGCTGAATTCTTCAAGGCGCAGACCGGTATCGACGACGACGAAGACTTGAAGAGGCATATCCTGGAGGTGCAGGCGAAAGCATATCAGGCGAGTCATTTTCGTAATAAGTCTAATAACCATCCATCGCTGACAGGTTGCACCATATCCATGTATTCGTTCATTTGTTTTCCTTCGGTATATTTTCAGTGAATCTGCACACCCAACAGAAATATAACATTCCTCAGGTTAAACTTATCAAATCTTTCTGTGTACGAACATATCCTTGAGCTTGGTCGCAAGCGCCCCGATGCCTTGTTGCTCGACATTGGCTGTTGCTGTGCGTCAAATCACGATGTTCTGTCGTAAATGATATTGACACCATTGTAGTCGGTATTGATGGCAGAAAGGCTGCGGCGGACGGGTTTCCTGCCAAAAACATCATTGCATCAGATCTCTTCAACGGTATTTTTTTCCTGTGAATAATCATTCTTATTAACGAACTGTATGTACAGAGTTTCTCCAACTAAGCCACGAACTTTTCAAAACGACACCAGCTTCTTATCCCGGATGCTTCCTCCCTGGAGATGTCTTTGATCCGGCATTTCTCTCTATAGCTGCGCCGACGGACGACGTCTCTCCGGCGCCAGCCATAGATTTGTCCTGTTTGAAATCCCTGAACTCCCTTCATGGTCGCATTAGCGTAATAAACGCTATTTCATTCTTCCACCTCTTCAGCGAGGAGAAACAATTCCTCGTTGCCAAAGCTCTCGCTGGTCTGTTATCCGCACAGCCAGGTTCCGTTATTTGCGGTTACCATGTCGGAAGTTTCGAAAAAGGAATAGGTAAATAACAGTCTCCCGGGCTCCGAGTATGGGTTGTTCGCTCATTCTCCCAAAACTTGGACATCTTTGTGGGACGGAGAGATCTTCAAGAAGGGCAGTGTAAAGGTAGAAACAGAGTTGGTGGAAATTGCGACTCGCGATGTGCAATTCTTCATGATGAAGTGGTCAGTGATGAGATTGTAGATACAAGCATTACGGTCGATTTGAGGAAGTGTCTTTTATGAGACTATGTCGATAATTTAGTCATGGCTTAGGTTCAACCCTCTGCCAACGGTTCATAATTCTACCAATGCATGTTTGGAATATAACTGACGCTGAGCACCCGGCCCTCAAGAAATTTCTCCTGCTCCCTGCATAACACTCAACAAGGATTCCCGTGCTACACGCAACTGCCGGTTGACACGTGTGCATGCTCCCGGAAAACAATCGAAAATCATATCTGTTCTTGTATCAGAGTCGCCGACAAGCTTAGCATAGCATTCTCGAACGTCAAGGATGAGGCATAGGCGTGGACCCAGTACAAACATCTGCACCATGGCGATAATGACAGAATTGCCAGAATATATGACAACTCCCGTGGCATCTGAGTCCTATAAAATTATGAATAGCAGTCACATGCAGCGAACGACTCTGACGAATCGAGAGGCTCGGACTAGAAACGAGGAATGTATCGTTAGCACTAAGTATGCAGAGGAGTTGTAGTAAGTAGCTCGCCTCAGTCTTAGTTGGAAAGACTGAGGGAAGGGAATATTATAGACGCTGAATATTAAATAATCATCGAAACAGAGAACGAAATGTGAATGTGGATGGAACTTGTATGATAATGTGTATGTGTATGTAAAATAGACACGTACGAAGGATGTATCGTGATACTCCGACTCAGATGCATATCACCAGATACGCGTGTGGAACTATTCAGCCAAGGTCTCGTTTGAAGATGAGCGAAGAGCGAGAGAGCAGCGATGATTGCGGAAAAGTTTTCGTGGCAGGAATTTCGTGAAAATGTCGGCAACCACATCATGTGTGGTGTATGGGATCTTGATAATACCATCATTGACGAGATCTCGAATGAAGTGATACCACACACGAATGTGTTTCGCGCGGTCATGGAACTGGGGTTTTTTCGTTAGCGCATGGCTCCCATTATTGTCTCCGTATAGAATAGTAGGCAGGATGAACGACGAATCTTAATCAAGTCCGAAATCGTGCAGTAATTGATTAAGGTGAATTTGTTCCCAAGCAGCATTCGAGAGAGCGATGTATTCTGCTTTCAGTCGAGGACGTGACTGTTTCTGGGAGTGTCAGCTGATGGGGGGAACCGAAAAGGTACTAATAGACATAAGCATCTTTATCAGACGCAAAGTCCGAATCTGAATGGCCAACGAGTCCTTCAAGTTGGTCAGAGAGACCAAAACACCTCAGGCAGCAGTTTTGTGAGGCAAAAGGTAAGCTTTCAGGCCGGGTTTCTATGTTATGGGAAACCAGCCTCAGGCTGAACATGATGTACTTTGATTACATAAGAAATAGCAATGCGCTAATTTTCTACGTTCATCTCTACTATCACTTGCCCAGAGTTGCAAAATGGCCCGGAGTTGCAAATCACAATGTAGCACACTCATTTTCCACTCGTTTTCTTAGCACAATGATTCTAGAGGGTAATTAGTACATAGCTTGCTGTATGTATTTTTTATTTCATGAAAAATGGGCTGGAAGTACTTGCAGCAGCGAAATACTGTGCAGAACATGTACTTTCCACGCTAATCCATCGTAGGGAAGCCATCACATGCACCAAAAAATTCAGGAATTTTACTAGTGATTTCGCATTGCCTTCTAACACTCCTCTAATTTTTTTTTGATATGAAAACTGTGTTCTATTGAGAGCTATAAAGGTTGTACTATCGAGATGCAAAGTGTGACAGGAGGAATGAGCTTGTGTTCGGAGTTGCAAAGTGCTGCTCGGCAACTCGGCTGACATCACTCACTCATCTGTGAAGTTAAGCTTTCAGTCTTGCAGCGCTGGTCGCTTCGTCAGAGAGTTAAAACAGCAGTGTGACACAGTGTGACACGACGACTTCTATGCGGGTGAGAAATTTTGCAACTCTGTGCTCAAACACTGTTTCGCACTGGCTTCTCTCTGGCAACGTAGGCTGGACATATTTCTTTATTTTTTTTACATAGCCTTAGAGTATGTACTAAATCCAACATGCTCCTAGTGTTTTTTTATTTTAATGTTGTGTAGTTGTTGTGTTATGAAAAACTGGTCGGAACGTTTTGCAACTCTGGGCAAGTGATAGTATGGCTCCGTGCTCAGATACTCACTCACTATGTCTGGGTTGGGTGTTCAGTTTGTCAGTCCATGGAAACCAAGCAAACGTCCGTAATGCACGTTCATTTTGTCATTTTGCAGATGGGCCCATTAATTTTCACAGCTGTCGAAATTTCACTAAAATGCTCTAATTTCACTAAGACGGTTTAGGTGGGAGGGTTTTCCTGATGCTGAGATGCCCAGGTTCAGTCACCTAGTGCTGCGGTCGGTAGCACAATTACATCCTATCAAAATGGAGGGTACTGCTGCTACACACAATGGCCGCTCTACAACGCCGTTGGGCATAAGATCTCGGAATGCATCGGCACTGTGGCGTCTACACGTCCACTCAGCTTGACCCCCAACCATACCATGTGATTATCGTACCTAACATTTATTTTCTTTGACATTATCTTACAGTCCGAGTTATTCCGGCACTCCGCGCCTCCATACCCTACGCCCTTACTATTTCACGTGCTACATTACAGAAAAGCTATAAAAGACCCAGTAGTTAGAGTTGTAACGTTTGGCGTTCTTGCAACTAAGCTATTACCTGGTGACATTGCTTGATCATCTTAAGACTCGTTTCCGTGTGCCTTCAACTCAAGTTACCACTTCGAGCTGTCGTCACATATTTTTTCACCTTCTCCTAGCTTAATCTAAACCTACCCACTGCCATTCTCGATAACCTAGGTTTGGCCAACCTCTGGTGACGAGTCGGCAAAACAACAATCTATTTCACTCATCAACTACCAACATGACTACTGTTCATTACGATTTGCGACCTATCAACCAGCGCACCCGGAAGATCCTTCCAACCCCGAAGCCTCCTGGCGCCATGCCTTATTCACCCTTCGACTCACCACTGACTGCCTTGGACGACACCCCTGAGATAGCACCTTTCGAGGTGACTAAATCAGAGACATCTGTCCTTAGGACCGTCCGCTCGTGCAGCGACGTCGTCCAGGCAAGAAGCCCTTGGTTTGGCCTGCACGGCCCCAAGGAGAAGTCCATGGAGCAGGTCTCCGTGGCTGAGAATACCCCTGAGAACCGTTCTGAGTCAGTAGAGGATGTGAATAGACTATTGAGTGTGACCCTACCTCCTGCTCCCAGTGAAGCAGATCCAGACTCCGAAAGTGATGAGTCCGATGACGACGGTCGTCCATGGATCACGGTTCGACGAAAACGAAGCCGTGAGGGTGCCTTTTCAAGCGGATTAAAATCCGAACCTGCTCCCGTTTGTACGTTAATGAAGGAGCAGGAGAGCCTCATGAAAGAGGCTGAGCGTCGTCTGACCAATGACGAACGTGAGCGAGTGAATCGAAGGCAGTCTAAGATACACTCACAGATTGATGGAACCGCGTCTGGAACAGCTGGACCCTCGAAGGGCAAGACCACGGACCCAAGAGAGTGGGGAGCTGCTGATCTTGACGAGGGGGAACTGGATCTGGATGCCCAGCATGCTGCCTTCGAAGCCTGGAATGCTGCTAAAGCAGCGAGAGAGGTAACCAGTGAAGGCGAAAATGAAACCAGCACGGAACACGTGCCGAAGGTCAAAAGCATCGAGGTATCCAAGGAGGAACTTGAGAGGCTCGTCCACGAGCGAGCCATAGAGGCTGTCCGTGTCACCGAGGTCAGACTAGAACGAAAGTATGAGAAAAGGATTCGAGAGCTCAATCGGAAGCTCGAGAAAGATTTGGCACCTACCAAGGTTGACACGGGTGTGACAAATCATTCGCAACCGGTAAAGTCCATGATCGAGAAAGTTGTGAAACCTTCGACCAATACCCGAGCTGTGAGCGAGACGCCCAGGGCTTTGCAGCCCGTGCAACAAGTAACGGCCCAAAGCTATATTGGACGGGTGCTGAGCAGGGTTAAGTCCAGAGAGCCCAGAGAGAAGACTCACTCGGAGTCTGATCCATCCAGCGATGACTCAAGTAGCAGCAGCTCGAGTGAGTCAACATCGAGTGAGTCCTCTGATGAAACATCTGATGGCTCGACAATGGACTCGTCGAGGAAATGATGACCTAAGAAATCGTCGCGCACCCGTAAGAAGTCTTCGAAGAAGAAGAAAAAGAAGAAGCAACACACCATTCTAAAGCCGGTGCCACCTACCGTATATGATGGTGAGGTGGATTCTAGGGCGTTCCACAGGTTCATCACTGAGGGGATGGCTTACGTAAAAGATGGCCGTGTCGAGCGAAAGGCGTGCGTATTCACATTGTCGAGGTACGTGACTGGTAAAGCTCATGAATTCTACATTAGAGAAGTAGCAAGAGACCCTTACCATTGGAGACTACCTGAATTCTTTAGCGAACTCTTTAATCATTGTTTCCCGGTCAACTTCCGGACTGAACTACATGCCCAACTTAAGAAATGTTATCAGAATGAGAAAACAGTGCGAGCTTACTATTATGAGCTCAGTGAGCTTTGGAACATGATAGGCGACATAGACGAATGACAGCAAGTCGAACGTCTGTGGTTTGGCCTGAGAGCGGACATTCAGCGTGAACTCTGGAAAAAGGAACTTAACCCGGAAGTATTGTCCTTCAACGAAGTACTGGCGGCAGCCGAGATCATTGAGATCTCGCAGTCAGTGCCGGTTGGTAGAGAACGGAGGGTGCAGACAAAGAAAGGGTCGTCTAACCTTGAAAGCTCCTCCATGACCCCAGAGAGGAAACGTGAGGGCAAGGACTCATGAAAACGCGAGCGCCATAGGGATAAACCTAAGGACCAGAGGCACTGGGACAAGAACCGGTCTAGGCCAGAGGGTAGTACAAAGCCCCAGGGTTCCACAGGTAAAAGGTTTGAGCCCCTCCCAAAGGAGGAGCACGATAGGCTGGCAGCAGAGGGAAAGTGCTTCTGCTGCAAGCAACCTGGACACCAGTCTCATCATTGTCCTGAGAAGAACAATATAAAGACTCACCTACCAGGGAAGCCGCCGGGTGTGCCCAGTTACAGGGTCCACGTTGATCTCCGGGAGGTGGATAGGTTGCGGGACCTCGCAGACACCACCGAAAACAGAAATGACGTGTTCTTGGGGGCAATGGCATTTGGGGACGTGTTACCCCAGCCCCATGACGCCGGTCTAAGGTTGGACCGGATGGGAGACCCTTTGGCAGAGCGTGCCTGGATGCTACTTTCTGGTATTCAGTACCCTGGAGACAGGACTGACTGCCCAGACTCACTGGCTGCGGACAGGTTTCACTTGTATCGCGTATCTGCAACAGAATACGTCATAATGGACTCCTGCTGCAGACTGGACCCAGAACTCACCATTCCCATCGTCCTACTGACGAACCCCTGCTTTGAGGTGGATCGTTGGTACTGGTGCTACGTAGGACTGCACAGAGGTTTCGATAAGAAGGAACTGAGAGGGTCTGAGCGAAAACGCACCTGGAGGTCGAGTCCCATGGGGGACGCGTTGGCCGAGCATGCAACCTACTTGCTGGACGCGGAAAGGAACTACTATAACGATGGGCCAGCGTGCCAGGTACCACGAAGGTTTGAATGTAACTTTGTAGGCGGAGGGCTCTACGAGGTCTATGACACGGCACTGCAGTTCGCAGCCACCGTATCGGAGGAACTACTGTTGAACTCAAGGTTCAACGTCTCCAATTGGTATGCAAAACAACTCGCCCAGGGATTCCACGCATTGCAGGATGCCATGGAGGAATGGTCATGCGAATGGAACCTGTTCAGGCTGTTAGAACGGGGGCCACTGTCAGACGTAGACCGACAGCTGGACAAATTGGCCAAGTACCTTGTGCAACCTCTACATCCGATGGGCGTCAAGATGACCAAGGGTCTGATGCACGTCGTGGAGCTGAATGGAGTCGCGGTGCCGGCGGGTCAGTACCCGGCGTTGCAGTGCAACGCCGCGTTGACACGCGACTTCACGCGCGTACTACCAAAGCCTATCGTGGTGGTAGTACACATAAATGGGCAACCTGCACGCGCCCTGATCGACACTGGATCACTAGTGGATTTCATGTCGCTGACGTTAGCCGAGCAATTGAGAGTGCCATTGAGTCAACTCACCAAACCGTTGACCATTCAGCTGGCGGTCCAAGGGTCGCGTTCGAAGGTTAACTACGGCGCGAAGGCCAGGCTGCAGTACCAGGGGATCGACAGCGAACAATATTTCGATGTGATCAACCTGCAAAACTATGACTTGATATTAGGCACACTGTTCCTATTTCAACATAAGGTAACGGTGGGATTCAACTCACCTCAAGTGATTGTGGGCAGCAACGTGCCCATGCCCATGAAGGGCGACGAGGTCTCGGTATTAGAGTCCAGGGCCGCGGAGGTGTATGCCGAAGAGCTCGACAAAGTTCGAGAGCATCTGAAAACGTTAGCCAAGCCGCTTTGTGTGAAGGCTTCTGAGACAGGCTTACCTCCTCTGCGCACCATTAATCACTCGATCCCGCTGATAGACAAGAATAAAATATACCACTGGAGGCCGTCTCGCTGTCCAGAAGCTATGAGACCACAGTGGTCAGAAAAGAGAGCTGCTTACCTCAAGTCCGGACGTTGGCAGGTCATGAGCGCCGGTAACACGGTGCCGATGCTGTTCCTGAAGAAGCCCGGGTCAGACAGGCTGCGCACGGTGTTTGATCTCCGGGAACAGAACAACAACACCAAGAAGTTGTTGTCACCATTGCCTGATATGGAGGGGATCTTGCGCCAAGTATCGCGAAAGAAGTACAAGTCCTTGATAGATGGTCAGGACACGTACAAACAAATAAGAATAATACCAGAACACATACCTCGTTCTGCTGTGACCACGCTGGATGGGAACATGGTAAGCCACGTCGTCCAGCAGGGCGACTGCAATGCGCTGGCAACGTATCAGGCGCTGATGAATCACCTTTTCGGCAAGTACATCGGCCGGTTCATGGACATCTACCTTGACGTCATCATCGTGTACTCAGACACCCTGGAAGAACACGTTGAGCACATCAAGAAGATCCTGGCTATCTTAGAGCGAGAGAAACTTTACCTAAGTGAGAATAAGATCCTTGGTCGTGTCGTTGGGAAGGAAGGAATCCGCATGGATCCTGCAAAGGTGGACAAAATCTTGTCCTGGAAGGTACCTACGAACCGAACACTCTGTAAGGGGTTTATTGGGTCAGTGGGGTACCTGGCGGACGACATCCACAAGGTGCGCTTACCTTTGGGTGTCCTGTCCAAAGCGTCCGCGGACACTGTCCCATTCAGATGGACGGACATGGAACAACGCGCTTTCGATGAAGTGAAGTGTTATGTGTCAGCGTGTGTGTCACATAGTAGGATGCCATTAGACTACTCACCGGGACATCCCCGAATTTGGATGATGACGGATGCCAGTGCGACGGGCATTGGCGGGGTGGTCGCACAAGGCGACGACTGGCGTACAGCGAGAGTGGCGGCATTCTACTCTGCGAAGATGTCTTCGGCCCAGCGGAATTACCCTGTTCATGAACAGGAGTTGTTGGCTGGGGTGGAGACTATGGTTAGACATAGGGACATCCTACAGGGCATGAAGTTTACCTGGTTGACGGACCATAAGAGCCTGACTCACTTCATGCGACAGAAGAACCTGTCCGGGTGGCAGGCGCGTTGGCAGGAGATGACGGGAGAGTTTGACTTTGATATTGAGTACCTGCCCGGCGAGGAGAACATCCTGCCGGACGCGCTGTCGCGAGTTTGATGAGCCTGGCACAGTGAGGGCCCCCAGTGAGTATGTGGTACTGGAAGGGGAAGTCATCTCACCGCCAGTTGCCAGCTTGGTCACCATGCTGGTGACTGTAGGGTTGGAGGCCACTGCCCAGACGCCCAGAAGAAGTGCGCACATGGCTGCCAAGCGCAAGCCAACCCATGGACAGGATACTGTGAGCCCATCCGTCAGCCGTGGATTGGTTCAGGGAGAGACACCCACCAGATCTCCTGAGGGCCAGGTTGCCAGTGGAGCGGACAACCGCGAAATGGCTCTTGGAATATTATCGACCAGATCTCCCATAAACCGCGAAATGGGTCATGGAATGCCTCTGGCAGACCGGAGCAACCGCGAACCGGGTCAGGGAAGGTCATTGACCAGATCTTCCACGGACCGGGGCAACCACGAACCGGCTCTTGGAATGTCATTGACCAGATTTTCCATGAACTGGAGCAACCGCGAACCGGCTCATGGATCCGCCGTTAGTGATCCTGTTCTTGCAGAGAAAGGGATGGACACACCTGCACCTAAGAGGAAGGGCCGGAGGGTCGTCGAACCAGCGGAGACTGGGCGCCTGGAGACATCTGCAGAGTTTGCATGGCGGGTGAGGGATCATTTCATCCTGAAGGGCCCAGTTGAACAAAAGGAGGGGGGGGGGAGCTCCTGAAAGAGCATAACCACCCAGAGACCAGCCAGATGGAGGAACCCCAGAGGATCCGGACCAGCGAAGAGCTGGAAAACCTGCAAGAAGGGTTAACCGAGCCAGAGTACCAGCCAGCAAAGGTACCTATCACGTACCCTGAAAAGGAGGCGGTATTGTCTGAAATTAAGGGAAGATATGAGGAAGATCCCTTTTTCAAAATGATACTAGACGCACCTGAGTCCTATAAGAACTTCGAGCTCAGGGAGGGATACCTGAGGCTGAGACTACAAGATAGGGAGCTGCTATGCATCCCGGACATAATGGTTGGAGAGCGGAAGCTGCGCGAAACGCTGATAGATCAAGCGCACTCATTGTTAGCTCATCTAGGCGCGAGGAAGACAATGTCATACCTCCGAGAGTACGTGTGGTGGAAGATGCTGGTACCGGACATACAGGCGTTTTGCACCTCATGCCAAACCTGTCAAAAGAGTAAGCCCTCTAACCAGAAGCCATATGGGTTGCTGCACTCACCCAAGATTCCATCTAAACCGTGGGATGCCATAGGCGTGGATTTCGTCGGTCCGCTACCACTATCTAAGAATAGAGATGGCAAATTTGATAGCATCACCGTGATAATTGATCTGTTCACTGGGATGGTGCACTTGGTGCTGAGCTGGACGAACTACAATGCAAAGGAAGTGACTGAGCTGATGTTCACGGAAGTGTACAAACACCATGGCTTACCAAAGTCCATCATAAGCGACCGGGATGTCCTGTTTACGAGCAGATTCTGGATGTGGCTAAATCAGCTGATAGGAATTAAGCAGAAAATGTCAAGTGTGTACCATCTGGAGATGGACGGTTCGACAGAACGCGCGAACCGCATGATAGGACAAATGATACGAAGCACGATATCCCCCAGTCAAACGGACTGGGTGGGGCGCTTGCCTGCAATAGAATTTGCCATTAACCTGGCGCACAATGACACCACGACTTACCCGCCATTCTTTGTCAACTCGGGCCGAATGCCTCACTCCTTCATTTGGGAGACGCCTGAAACAACGGAGTATCCGGGAGTTAGAGTGTATGCCCAGAAGCTGAAGACCACCGTGCTCACCGCGCACGACGCCATCCTAGCGGCTCGCGTCAAACAGACAAGGGAGGCGAATAAACACCGGCGAGCGTGCCCGTTCGTGGTGGGCGACTTAGTCTATGTATCGTCTAAGAACATTAGCTTCCCCAAGGGACGGGTAAGAAAATTCATACCTAAATATATTGGGCCATACCAGATAATGCTGGACTTCAAGAACAACTCATACAAGTTGGACTTGCCGGATAGGTTGAAACAACGAGGAGTGCACCCCGTGTTTCATGCATCGTACTTACGAATCCACATGCCCAACAATGACCGCAAGTTCCCAGGAAGACTCGAGATGCAAGTTGCCGATTTCGAACGATCATGTTGATCGAGAATGGGCCGTGGACAAGGTACTATCGCACCGATGGTACCAGAATGGACGCTGACTTCGAAATACTTTGGAAGTCCGGAGATAGGACCTGGCTGCCATACAGCCAAGTAGAACATCTTGACGCCCTGAAGGACTATTTTACCCTGGTCAGCGTCGAGACGATCGGTGAGCTGGCGGATGGCGATGGGGAGGTACCGACTGACGCTCCCCAGGTGTTTCTAGGACACCTATGTCTCACTCCCTTCCCTACAAATACCCCACTGTTCCTTCATCCTTCAACATCTCCACCACTCGACCTTCGTTGCACCATGCACAACCCCGCATTTCGCAACTTTGTCCCTGCGGGGCCAGGGTCCTACACGTTCTCGGACATGCATGTCCCTCTGTGCCAATATACCATCACACACGACCAAGTTAAGTCCTTCAGTCTTGTACTGACACGCTGTTGCACTCTGGTGAGGACAGCAGCCAACACTCTATTCCCCTTGGTTACGACGAATTCGCGTTCATTTTCAACTTTAACAAGCCTGAGATCCTCGTTAAGTTCACCACCACTGCCGCAGACAGGTTCCATTAAGGTCAACGGACCTACTGTGACTGCCTCGTTCCTCGTTGGCGACGACGAGGAACCTGTCGCTGCTCTTAATCCTGACCAGCCTGCCCAGCCAGTCGTTGAGGCCACCCGTGATCCTGACGGAGGCTGCTGGTTGGACAAACGCAAGGCAGAGCTGATCGACGATACCCTTTGGGACACCCTTGAGCGTTCCCACCACCAGAACTCCTGCCATGACGAAGCCATAAAGGCTCGTAAGGACAAGAGGAGGAGGCTCGAAGGTCCCCCTCCCCCTGTCGCACCTGCATCTAACATTCCCTGTCCCCCTACCACTACTCGTGATGCTGGTGCTGGTAGCTCTAGCCGAGCTATCGCCCAGCCGACCATTTGGGATGATGACGTGCACATGGAAGGTGCGGAAGGCATGAACCATCGCGAAGGGGTCGAAGGACCCACCATTACTGAAAAGAAGGGCAAAGGATGCAAGAAGTGAGGGGTTTGACAACCCCTGAAGGGGGGTATGTGGCGTCTACACATCCACTCAGCTTGACCCCCAACCATACCATGTGATTATCACCTCAGGCATTACTTTTCGGAACCAATAATGGTCTTTCAGACCTCGGTTTCTATGTTGTGGGAAAGTAGTCTGTTAGACCCACCCTCCCGCCATCTATTAATAACACATCCTCCTAGCGTGCACCGCGCACCTCCAGGAAACCCTCGCGCACCTCCAGAAAACCCTCCAGATCCTCCAGAGAACCTCTCGTACCCCTCCAGAAAACCCTCCAGCCTCTCCTGTGGCTCCAATGCAACGAGCTTGGGAGCCTTGCTCCTCCCCGTTTCACACTGTAAGTTCTTCTCTTCTTTCCCTCACCATGTCTTCCTCGACACCTCGTCGCACTTGCAAAGCTCAACTTGCATCGTTTGGCCTAGGCTCTCACTTTGAAAAAAGATGATGACACGCAAATGAAGATGTGCTGTCCAGAGAATGTGTTTGGCTCGTTTAGTAAGCATTTGTTTGAGCCAGCTGGTTGTTTCGCAGGCTCATGTCTGGCTCAAACAGCAGTCTATTAATAATACATCCTCCTAGCATGCACTGCACACCTCCAGAAAACCCTCACGTGCCTCCAGAAAACCCTTGCAGTGCCTCCAGAAAACCCTTGCAGGCCTCCAGAAAACCCTCCCTATCCTCCATAAAACCTCTCGTACCCCTCCATAAAACCCTCCAGCCTCTCCTGTGGCTCCAATGTGCCGAGCTTGGGAGCCTTGCTCCTCCCCTGTTTCACACTGTAAGTTCTTCTCTTTCCCCCACCATGTCTTCCTCGACGCCTCAGTCGCACTCGCAAAGCTCAACTTGCATCTTCTGGCCTAGGCTCTCACTTTGTAAGCCCAAGGAAGCTTGAGACAATGAAAAACCCAAACATATGTTGAGCTGCCTGGCGCAGAGAGAAGCGCCGCCGACTTTTAGATGCAATGGAGCAACTTATGAAGTCGCAACATGAGAAACCACACCTGCAGTTATCTGTTCAAGCTGCACCACCCGATACTGTGACTACGGAACACATGGATGCTGACAATCTTGTCGAATTCCACTCCGAAGATGTGGATGAACAACCATCTCTGGAGATCTCAGTAACAGTCTGTCAAACGGTGGATCCTACCAGACCAACCCACTAATTCACTGTATAAAAACTGGATTGCACTCATACCAACCCTTGTGATCCGGTACTCCAGTACTTTGGACAAACGCAGGGCAAAGCACTGGAAAATATACATCCAGTCATATCTGCATGCGGGGGAGCCTTCGTGTACACCGAAACGGACAACAATGATGTGTTTATGATCGTCAGCCCATATCTTGCAGTGTTCAATTTTTTGCTGACATTATTTAGGCTTTACATCTATAGATGTACTAAGTTGTACCTGCTCAACTCTCCAGCAGGTCCTCGTCCACCATGGTCTATTCCCAACCGCGCCTTCACAGCCTCGGATGGCTGTGTCTGTTGACTTGCTTTCATTCTACCGCGCGTTGTTTGAGCGCTCATGTGACGCGATTAACGCACTCACATCAGTGCTCAAAAATCACTATTCCCGGCGGGGTTACCAGATGACTGATGCCCAGGTAACAATCAGTTACATACTTATATCACTACTGATTCATTAGTGTTTCAGGGTGAAGTTATACAGGACCCCTTCCGCCGAGGCCTCGGCTATGCCGTCCAATGGTATGACATCCTGCAAGTTGAAGTTGAGCGCCAAGTTGAGATGGTCGTTCAACAACATTGTGATCATATAGCGAAGTTTCAAGTGTCCTCTCGAGTCCCAAATTCGCCTTTGCTCACTCAATGCGCACCCCTTCTAGTGCAACGGTGTCCTGCTTGCTTTGCAGGTATACTCCATGGTAGATCCACAGATGAAGGAGGTGACATCCACGTTGCAATGGACGGTAATTTCCATCACCGTCATTGACGTGCTGCTGGAGACTGTCCAAATTTCTATGACCCTACCTATTTTCTCCCCAAAAGCTTTGTTGACGCAATTGGGCACCATATCGACACTCAACGTAAGCGACCCGTGAAGTCTCACGTGCCCCTCATCCCCAACAAAGCCGTTGACCAATGCGAGAATGCTTACGAGGCTGCTGATGGCAAAAAACAGAAAGCCGCTATGGATAGCTTTGATGACACTGCAATCATGGCCCTTATCTGTCGTCATGACATCCCATTATTTTTTGCCAATATAGACTCACCTGGAGAACAGCAGAAGTATTCAGTAGCTTTACTTCACCACTTCTTTTCATTTCTTCCACCTGAAGCTACTGTCGTAGCCCTTTACGATATCGGCTGTGTTTTGGCACAAACACTCTCCAAGGTACATTATGATCCTGGCTGGAACTACTTGCTTACACTATTTACAGTATGACATTCTTCCCATAAGTATCACCTCACACCTTCGATTTGCAACCACTGCAATGCACACATATGGGCACGAGTGGGCTTGCCAGCTCGTATATAATCCACGAATATGTGTGGGTCTTGGCTTATCTGATGGCGAAGGGACCGAACGCCTTTGGTCTCACTTAGTTCGATTGATAGGTGTTGAGCACACTTCTAGTGTATGTACTCTATTATTTTCATTATGAACTAATTCATTTAAAACACTGCTTAGCGCCAATGCCGTTTATGGCTAATCGATCGGCAAGCAGTGGCTATAGCTTCAGAGATGTGAATTGACCTTGGCGACTGGATCAAACGACGCCTCAGACGGGGCATCAAGGAGCAAGGTTCGGCAGCCCAAGACGTGCTAGATCGATGTGGGGTCCCCATTGAAGAATTGCAGTCTGAGTGGTTGCAGCAAAGGCATTCTCAGTTATCTATCCATGCTCGTAGGTTTTATACATTTTTAATGGCGTAACTATTACTCAATGATATTGCAAGATGCACCCACCCGCCTCAAGAAGGAGTTGAACACTGTCCTAGCTCTCCAGGCAGATCTGGACACCTCAGACAAAGCATTGCAAACCGCCAGGACGATGTTGGAGAAAGATATGGCTTCAGATGATACTCTAGAGGCTCTCGAAAGTCTAGAGAGGGGACACGATTGCCTGATGAACAAGGTCGAGGCTCTTTACTCTTCATTGAACGTTCATGACAGGTTCCCTGAGCTTCATGGCATCAATCTCAAATTTGTTCGCATCCTTCTAATGGCACGCGATCTCAAAATGAATGTTCGTAAACGTGTGATTGTAAGTTTCTTTGAGTGGGATAAACTTGATCAAGCAGTAGGTGGCGTCCAGCAAGCGTTAGGTAAGTTCGTGCTCTTTTGTTAGTCAATGATTTATCAGATTCTTTCAGGCACCAAGCTGCATCAACAGACACGTAAAGCAATTTCAAAGCGTCAGCCTGCACTAATGACCGCTATCAGGAGATTCAACTCCTACTGCGAGCGGCTCGATTCATTGTATGATACATCCTGGGGGATTCCACTGCCCGCACCCCTTCCCACCAAACTTGTGGAACTACGTTCCGACCCAGGACTGATGGAGGATGTATGGATTACGCCATCTCTTGGAGAGGTTCCGCGATGGTTAGATGACACATCCATAAGAGACGGTATTCGTGCACTGCTCAAGCATGACCAGTGTCGAGAGGAGCAGGTTCAGCTGGGCATTGAGGCCGATAACCTGTGCCGCTTCTTTGGAAATGAGTTGGCGGCGCTTGAACTTGCCCTTCGGTCGCCGAAGAGTGAGTTAATTTTCTTCTCAACTTCCATTTCTCACCCATCCTTAGGTGAGCCTTTCGCAGTTCCATTGCAGCAACGGCATCCAATTTTATCCGCCTTCAAACGGTCAAATTGCTTAGCTTCTTCAGTATGGTTCACTAACAAGTCAGCAAGGCAGTGGCCATTGTGACCACCCTCTCGGGAGGCTCACCAAACATGATGTTTCACTGGATTAATGCCAGCACGCTGGTAGTGCCTGATTCTGAGGGTAGTGATGAACTCCCTATCGTTGATCCTGACCATTGCCCCCAAGTCGATTCTGAACAAGCAGCACTTGCCGATGTCCTGGAGGGTGAGATGGGGGCATTGGAGTTAGATGACATGACTCAACAAATTATGGGCAAGTTAATGCCGTGATTTGCTGGAACCTTCCTGATGTACGTTTATCTTTATTGTTAGGAATTGACGCTGACATGTCATAGAATCTCCTTGTGGATGACTTCTGTCCCATCGCAAGAGCCAGACGTCCTTGACCCTGCTAAAAATTTTGCATGAATACGACCTTCGCACGATGGAATCCCTCGTCTACTTTTTGAGCCAAAGACATTGGTATACTCAGTTCTCCTACTGCACGCCTCAATGATATATGTATCAACAATTGCGCCATTCTCCTGTGGTGCTCTCAGCTCAATACTTCCGCTACACGGTGCGCGATGCTCTCTACTCATGATCTTCCCCACATTCGTTATAATGCCCCAGATGATCATCTGGCGCCACACATCGTGGATTCGTTATTGGGAAAAAGACATCTGGGTACTTCCAATTCATCGTCCGTCAGCATTGGACACTGGGTGATGTGCATATCCAGTTGTCGACCAAAGAACTTTACCTTTTTGATAGCATGGGTGATAGGATGCCTTGGCAAAGTGACGTCAAAGTGAGTTTAATTTTAAAGTGTCCTTTTCATCTGATTGATTGGCACCTGATATGAAAGCATATAATAAGACTGATTGCTCGGTTCATTGCAATTGCGCGTCAACACGGCCATCATGTTCATATTGATCTCGAAGGGTGGGTGGCTCGACCATTGAATGTGAGTTGCATACTTGGCTTTCTTAACTAGTCTGACATTATGTATTATCTAGATCAAACGTCTTCAGAATAATGACTTTGATTGTGGCCTATGGATTGGCTGCAATATTCGCCATTGTACGTGGCAGCCATATAACAGGCCTACATGACGGGACATGG